ATAGATAATACAATAATCGCTGCGTCTTATTATTTGTACCACGACTCTAAAATAACTCGAGTTTTGGCAAGGAAAACTTAAGAAAGTAAGTAATACGAGCCAAGGTATAGAGTTAAGAGTAGAAACTGGAATATATTGCTTTATAGTTTAAGAAAAGTTACTTCAAAATATAAGCAAAACACAATGCATATATCAATCTTAGTAATAGATATAGAAAGAAATAATCTTTATTCAAATAAACGTAATAGTACTTTTGGATAGTCACATTTTTTGGATTCTACCACTCATTCGGAATGCAAACTCATGACAAGAACAATGAGGAAGAACCTTGCATGTGACTCTTTCAAATGAATTTTGTTCTTAATTATTTTTCAACACTCGTAATGTGGATCTAATTTTACCGATTTTCCATGTATAAAGTAGCTCAAAACACACATGCGTTATAATCGTAAATAGTGCCATTTTTTTTATCAAATTTCGAACTCACCGCCGTTTTAATGTCGACTGGCTACTCGCCCCGGCTTGGGTGTACATGTATCATATATATATAAACCTTCCTCTGGAATCACTCTATCTATTTAAAATAAAAAACCATCAAAATCCGTTTCGTAGTTTTAAAGATTTAAGCATACATAGGGACGGACAGAAAGCAACAGCAACTTTGTTTTATGTAATTAGTAATGATATTTCCATCACCGGAAAGTAAGCCTGAAATATAAATTGGCACGCAGTTTTTTCGACCGATCCCCCGTCAAACGGGGATCGAAATTACGACAGCCTGAGCCAAAATTCGAATCCCTAGTAGTGGCATCAGACCGCCAGTCGTATCCGTCAGGCAGGAGTTTGTCATTGGCACTCATTCCATACTATTCAGTGAAACCGTAAACGACAGCTGCAGCCAGCCGGGTTCACTACCCGGGCACTAATAAATATATATATATTAGTGGTTAGTATTATTATTAGTATAGTTATATGAAAAGGCATTTAAATTTAATTAAATGTTGAGCTGAAGAACTGAAATTCTCGACCAACAATATCATTTAAATGTTAAGATTGAAAGATATTTTATTTCATTTACATCACTCTATCCCGTGATGCCTTTTAATACGGATCATGAGGATTGCTATTCCACACAACGAACAGATATCTTGTTTTAAATTCTGTAATTTCACTTAATTTTCTTAGTCTACAAATAAAACCCAGTTTACAAAACAAACTGCTTGGTGGCTGAAGCAGGTAAGACTCTGGTACTCGCATACAATATTTGTACAGTCTACTTTAGTACATAAATTATTATTATAACACATTCAAATCTATAGAGCCGTTCCTGCGATTATCGTGCACAAATGCACAGACAAACAGAGGAATAGATCACTACCGGATTCCGTGAAGAAATCTTTTTGAAATCTCATACGTTCACTGATAATATTTCTCTGTTTTGATAAAATTTCAATTAATCTAATCAAATGATTAGATTAATAATTATTAAAATTTATACAACAAAGGGTCGGCATTCGTTTAATGATTTTATATGAAATATAATATCTATATTACAAACATATAAGAAGTGAATGAGAAATAGAACATTTTTATATTGTTGTTAAAGAAGTGAGATAAAAAAAAATATATTGTTGTTAATTCTATTAATTCAGGCGTGATTTCTAGAAAGTTTTATAAAATTGTTATTGAAATATGGGTACGTACTTATTTGAATATGTTTACATAATTAATAGATTAAATAGTAAACTGAGCTTTGTATATAAGTAGTATATAATAAGTAGCTATATTGCTCTATAATAAACTAGTTCTTCGATACAACTTCGTCTAAGTCAGAATATTCTCTTTACATATTTTTTTTATTTTCTGTGGTTTGACTGTCATATTGCTTGGTACGTACAGTATTTGTATAAATATTATTATATGACATTTTATGCCTTAATTTTTTTTATTTAATTATTCTTTATTGAACAAAAACTTTTGTACAACAGGCGAGCTTATGGCATTCTCTCCCAGCTAACTTTAGGGTATAATCATAAAGCGTTGTGAGGTATTAGCGAGAACTGTTTTAAATTTACTAATACATATAAAACAAATACATATAAATAACTATACAAGATATTATATAAATATACAGAAAACAAAATTATTATGTACATATATGAACATGTAAGATATATATTGAATAAACTAATATATACATATACATATATACACATACGTTAAATATAGATATATGTACTAAATCTAATGCATTTATAAATATTTTTGCACCGCCAACAATTATACTATGCATATAGCATATAGCTATGATTGACTGGTAGAAAATACGCCAAATTTACTGTTACTTAGTTACTTTTTCTACTATGTGCATTAAAGTTATGTGAATAAATAAAAAATAAAAATATTCCCTTATTTGAAATTTATTCATTTCAGCTCCGTTCTTATTAGACGTAGCTTGATATACCTAATTTATGAGCTATCTAACACTAAAAGTATTTTCAAAATCGGATTAACAGTACAAATATGGATATTAGATAACTGATACAAATAGATTTTTTTTGTTAATACATACACAATCAGATTATATAGAGGGGAAAAGGGATTGTCAGTAATGTGAACTAATGATCATATTGTGTGAGGTTGACCTTCACGCGGTTCGCCCTGGAAACCATCGTGATAAATTCTTAGTGAATTTGTTACGATGAGCTGACTGACCTGACCTCATGCTCATCTTATCATTCTCCACTAGTGCCCCAGCGTAACCAGCGTAGTGCCAGCGTAAACCGTTAGCGCAGGTGGGTGCACCATTCCATTATCATTATCATCATTGCCTTGCCTTTATCAATTATTTGAGGTTGGCGCAGTATGTCATTCTCGTCCACTGCTCTCTAACGGTCGTCATAACTGAACATACTCTTCTTTTATTCACATCATGTTTCACACAATCCATCCATTTCTTATGGTGTTTCCATTATCATCAATAAAAAAATAACAATCGTATTAAATAAATAATATACATTAGACCCAGACCGATACAAACAAGTATGATTGTTTGTATGAATACAAATGTTTGTAACGTGTGAGGAATCAAATCCGCAACCATTGGAAGTAAATTTGCTAAATCGTTAGACCACCTAGGCCATCAATATTTAATGTCATCATTTAAGTATTATATAATACCAGCTTTTGATCGCGGCTTCGTTCGCGTTAATTTATCCACTTAGGGGTGGAATTTATCAAAATCCTTTCTTAGCGGATGGCTACGTCGTAGTAGCTTTATGCATGCAAAATTTCAGCCCGATCGGTTTAAAATTGACAAAGTTTCATAAAAACTTTCATGCCCTATTTTATCCCCTTGGGGGTAGAATTGATAAAAAAAAAATATATTTAGATTTCCATATTTTCACAATAATCATTTATGAGTTATCAATTTATTTACTGTAATATAAATTCCAAGGTGTTTGACTGTATGTTTGTTACTTTTTATTCTTAATAAAATTTGATATTATTGAGATATGAACGCGAAACTTTATACTTCTTTCAAAACAGTTTATAAAGCAATGTTTTAAGTCAGTTTTTCTTAGCTCGAAAGCATTCCAAACTGACGATATAGCTCACATCATAAGAGTCTGTAATAGACCTACACGAATAAAGATATTTATTGATTTGAGAAGTTCGGCAGCAGAAATAGGTAAGGACGCAGATGAACAAAACTTCAAAACTATATCATATCATATATATATATATATATATATCATATTATATCATATAGTTGGTTTTGTTATATTTTATAACAAAACCAACTATATGATATAAAATTAGCCAAATTAAGAACTTTTTCCATTGAAAACACCGTTGAGAATAGTTCTATAGAAATTACGCTTTTAAACTAATACATTTGTTTTTCTGTTACAGATTTCAAGATATTTCTATTACTATTATTCATTGTCAACGATTGTAGAAGCAACCAGAAAAGAGGATGTACTTTAGAATATATTCAGTCTGCTGAACTCCAAGGCTGTGTTGCAAATGTACATTGTTATGGGACAACTGAATATTACCCAATATACAACTCTTTGAGAAATTGGCAGTGTTTGACTAATCTACATACAAATTATGATTTATACGTCGATATAAATAATTTAACATCATATGACTATAATTCAGGCAAAATTCCACTAAATGAAGAATCGTCAATCTTACCAATGCAAATATCTAATAATATTAAAAAAGTTACAATAACTGACTGTGAAATTATTAATATTCCTAGGGAAATATATAAATTAGCGAATGTTACGCACCTTCAATTAAATAATAACGATATGTCCAGTCTAAATTTAGTATATTTTACTAATTTTGAGAAACTGATGAGCATCAATACTTCTTACAATGTTATAACAGAATTGAATAATATAAAACCAATCTTAAGTGGCGAGAATAATAATTCTGTGAATTTAATAGATTTAAGTCACAATTTAATATCAGTTTTACCTAACTATTATTTTGAGGATTTTCCTAACTTACTTCATTTAAACATATCCCATAACTATATCAATAGTTTTGAAATATTGACTTTTGAAGGTTTATCAAAACTTCAGACTCTATATTTGTCTAACAATAATCTTACCAATATAGACCATGTTTTCATTAGATTTACTAATTTGCAGGAACTAATGCTAGACAATAATAAAATCACAGCTATTACAGAATTACATTTTAAACAAATGTTCAAATTGGAAATACTTAATTTAAACTCAAACGCTTTGAAAGATATTGAAGAAACCACGTTTAGAAATCTTCAAAATTTATTAGTGTTAGACTTAAGTAATAACTATATAACTTACCTAGCGAGTATTTTATTCGTAAACAATAATAAATTGAAAAATGTTTATTTATCAAATAATGCTTTGATAACTTTGGCACCTCTAGGATTCAATGGAAAAAACATTGAAAAATTTAATGCCTATAATAACAATATAACAGGAAATATAGACAGCACAATGTTCCAAGGTATCTGCGAAGAAAAACTTGATTTAAGTAATAACAAAATATTAAATGTGAAATCTGTAGCTAATAGTGGATGTGAATTACCCTTAAAGTCCTTGAATTTGAGCTTAAATACTATACATTATATAAATCAAGAGGCATTTAGTTCTTTAGAGTCACTCATAGAATTAGATTTATCACATAATAACTTAAGTTACATTAATTTTAGTATGAATCATATGGAGAAATTAAGCTATTTAGATTTAAGTCATAATAAAATAAGGAATACAACAAAATTTGACTTAAAAAATCTTATATCATTAGAAGTTTTGGATTTATCTCAAAATGCAATTACCGAAATTGAGAATCAATCATTTGATGATCTATCTAATTTGCAAATTTTACGTTTAAATAATAATTTATTCACAAATTTATCAAATTCTCTCATTTTTCGAAACTTGGTTAAATTAAAGACTCTTGATATTATGTATACTAGGACAATTATTTATAAAAGTGAAACATTTTCTGGTTTGAAAAACCTTAAAGAATTCAACTCGTCTTATGGCGAATTATCAACCATAGAATATGGAGCCTTTAAAAATACTGGTTCCATAGAAATTTTAGATCTATCACATAACTTGTTAGAGGATTTTAATATAGATAATGATGATATACCTAAGATTGAAAAAATATTTTTAAATAACAATAGAATCCGAATTATATCTGAACAAACATTTCTTGACATGATTAATATTAAGGCAATATCTTTGGAAAATAACAATATTTTAAGTGTAGAGCCGAATGCATTCAGCTCTTTGGTTATGTTAGTAAATTTAAATCTCGGGTATAATAAAAAATTGGAATTACCAAACGAAGTGTTCAATGATATGACTCATTTGATGCATGTTTCATTAAAGAATGTTAAGAAACCGTTTAATTTTAAATCCTCTAAAAATTTCATTGTGGTGAACTTAGATTTATCATTTTGTGATATTATTTCTATACAATCATTATTTATTTACAACGTGCAGGATATATCACATTTAAATTTAAGTTCAAATAAAATCAAGTCTGTGGATACATCGTCTTTCCAAAATATGCCATATCTAACATCGATTGATTTAAGCCACAATTTAATCACTAAAATAGAACCAGGATCTTTTCTTAAAACTAAACAAATACGCTCATTGGATCTCAGTGGAAATTATATATCATTTTTGCAATTCGGTGTATTCGATGGACTCGAGGTTATACATGAATTAAAATTGTCTAACAACTCTTTACGTTCATTTGACATTAAAATTTTACATAAATGTCCGTTAATATCAATTATTACACTCGATGATAATAACATAGAAAAGTTAAATTTTAAAGATTTCTTATCATCAAACATAACAAGGTTAAGTATAGGGGACAATATGATTCCTTGTAATGAATTAGTCGACTCATTAGCAGACGACTCAAGTAATTTGCAAATAGTGACAGAAAAATTAGATTACCATAGTGATAATATTAATGGAATCACATGCGTAACTGATAATACTAAAATTTCTAAACATAATTCTTTTTATAGTAATGTTAATGACACATCTCCGGTATTGGATTCCTTGTCCAGTATTAAAGAAGTCATTGATAATTCAGTGCAAAGTATCATTAGCAGAAATATTGAAGATATTGGTAAAATACAAAAAACTATGGAAAATATCCTTAATTCAATAAGTACGCTTACCAAAGTATATAATGAGTCTCAAGTTATTACTAATACTTATTTGAAACAGTTAATTGAAGGAGATAGCACTGAAACATCCAAGGTAAACCATGTGAAAAGTAACACCAATCAAGCTGGAATCGATAATACCGTAAAGTATGTTCTTCTGTCACTATTCATTTTATTATTAGTATTATGTGTAATTTTTATATATAGTTATTACAAATGGAGAAGTAGTAGATCGTGTAATAGTAGAAATGCTCAGTACTTCACAAATATAGAAATGAACTAATGGAATGCGGCGGGTAGATAGGTCAGTTCTATGTTCATTAGCTAATGTATATTTTTGATTATCGGCCCTCCCTTGTTTTGGACGGAATAAGATATTTTCTTGTGGTGAAATTGTCCCTATATTTTAAGTTAAGACTGCAGTAAGTTGTGACATCAAAAACCAAAACTTTTGATGTCACATCTCTTCTATAGATTAACTCATGTTACTTTTTTAACCCGTTAAAGACCGCATGCCCACCGGTGGTTTAATTGAAATAAATCTAAGGATTAAGGAATGTCTACCTCAAATTATTGTACACTAAAAACATATTTAATAAATGATATACGTAATTAACCATAAACAAATGCTCCTATGCGAGAAATATGATTTTTCAATGCGGTCTTCAACGTGTCAAATATCTATAACATTAATATATACATAGATTTACTAGCTACTCGCCCCGGTTTCGCCCGGGTTTACATATATTATACATATATATAAACCTTCCAATAGAATCACTCTATCTATTAAAAATACCGCTTCAAAATCCGTTGCGTAGTTTTAAAGATTTAAACAATCATTGGGACGGACATACAGCGACAGCGACTTTATTTTATACTATGTAATGATTATATTTTATTCACAGATACATTCTTTTTAATGTAATATTTTTGCTAGGTGATGTGACGAAATATTTTGGCATTTTCTTCAATAATAATAATATCTCAGGACAATTCACACAGCGCCATCTAGTCCTAAGTTTAGCAGATCTTGTGCTACGGGTACTAGACAATTGATACGAAAACATAGATACTTTTTTAGTAAATACATACATAATATACTAATATATAGAAAATACCCAGACCAATACAAGCAATCATACAACACACAGCGGAAGCGACTTAAAAAATTAGTTAAAAATTGAGTTACGGAGCATACTAGACTTTTAGTCTATGTTACGGAAGCAAGGTTTTTAATAATAATTAATGGACTCGGATTAATAATTAACGGTACATACAAACATTAGTATCATGAATATTAATGTTTGTATATACCGTAAGAAGAATTGAATCCGCATCCATTAGAATTAAGGTGGTGCGCAACTAGACCGCCGAGTGCATTAATTATTATTAAAAACCTTGCTTCCATAACATAGACTAGAAGTCTAGTATGCTCCGTAACTCAATTTTTAACTATTTTTTTTAAGTCGCTTCCGCTGTCTTTTCACTTCGATCTTTTAAACTACGTAACGGCTTGTAATACTGTTTTAGTAATATATAAGGGAAGGTTTATATATATAATACATGAACACCCGTGCTGAGCAGCTAGCTAAAAATAGAATATTGCTTTATATAAATCGTACTCTGCAATATTTAATGTTCTAAATACCACTTAATATATAAATACATTAAGCAAAAACTTTGTACCCCTTTTTACGAAAATTGTATGGACAGAGAAATATGAAATTTCGTACACTTCTAGTTTATATAGAGAAGGAGAGCAGAATTTTTTTTTAATTACGCATAAAAATATATTAATTTAATAAACTAATTATTACACACATTGCCATGTTTTTGACACAAACATGCATACTCTGTTTATTTTTAGTTTGTGGTCACATTGAGAATAGATTAAGATTGTTTGTCTTTAGTATTATTATTTGTCTTACTGAATGTTAACTAGTGGTCACCACTAGTATCAATTAATACATATATATTAATTTTTAACTAGGTATTTAAATGACGAATGATTATAAAATAAATAATTGTATTTCTAAATGTTGATTTATTTTTCCTTATTCTAATTGCTAACCTATTGTCTTTAATTGTTATATTATATACTAGCTATACCCGCGACAACGTCCGCGTGGAATTTAACTCTATTTTTCTAAAATAAAAGTAGTCTAAATTACTCCTTTTTACATCAGCTACCTGCCAATAAAAATCCCGTCAAAATCGGTCCAGCCATTTTAGAGATTAGCCGGAACAAACAGACATATAAAAATTGAAAAAAAATTTTATATTAGTGTATGTACCGTACTTATATTCATATTCATGTAGTAAAAAACGGTTATTTTATTACAAACAGACACACCAATTTTATTTATATGTATAGATGAATATCCAATCAAAGAGTATGAAAGCGTTGTGATTCATTATAATTTGAACATGAAAACACTTTGAGTATCAATTACATTTCTGGCTGATCCGCAATCAAACCAAAAATTAATCCAAAAGACGGCGGTAGACTTGCTTAATATTGTGATAGGGGCACAATATTTAAATAAATCAAGCGAAATGTGGGGATTTGTAGTTTCTTTCTCGGACTACTCTAGTGCAGTTGGCCACAGCTGGCCTTTACAGCTTCACCGGACGATAGGATAGGAGGCGAGTGCAGATAGCACTCCAACTCGCAGAAGGACTTATGGAGCATCTGAAGGCCAACTCGCTGAAACGGACATTAGTCTGGGACCGTTAGGGTTTATTTTTTTTTTATTTTATGATAATGGAATGGTGCACCCGCCTGCGCTAACGGTTTACGCTGGCGGAGCACCAGTGGAAATTGATAAGATGAACATGAAGTCAGATCAGTAAGCCCAACGTGACATATTCACCGGGAATTTATCACGATGGTTTCCAGGGGGAACCGCGTGGAGGTCAACCTGACATGGTAAATAGCTAGCAATGGGATCATTAGTCCACATTACTAACAAACCCCTCCCTCGTAATTTTGATGGCGCTTGAATTGAATGGCGCATGGATCGGAGGAGCACATTGTCATTTCAAGGGTCTTAAGTGATATGCCTCCATACCTGCAATTTCACTGCATGATAAATTTCACCATACAACGGACATATTATAAAATGAGCTGCTTGTCGGCTTAAATATATGTGATTGAGGAACCCACACAGACCACTTTTTATAAAGAATACCTTGGTAAATCGTGCTATCTATCCGTAGGTACCCGTATATAGATCAGACCAGTCCATATATGTCACCCCATTGATGATTGACTTGATATGATGATTGATACAACAGAATAGCATCAACAAAATAAATCATCATCATCGTCATTCTAGCTCGAAAGACGTCCACTGCTGAACAAAGATCTCCCCCAAAAATATCTTGTCACTGGGGTTCCAAACTTATAGAAGGATATATTAAGGTCTCTTGAGAGTCGGGACCTGCACGTGACATCTTTAGTGTTTCAGGCGTCCATAGGCTACGGTAACCATTTACCATCACATCGTATACGTTTTGTTGCTATCGTAGAAAAAAATACAAGTTGTGTTTTTTATATAGTTTTATTAATCATTTTAAATATGGTTCATTACATAAAATTCAATACAATCAAATTGCTATTTCATAATCGCTGATTGTAATGAACCATTCATTACAATCAGCGATTATGAAATAGCAATCTATATATTTATTTATAACTAGTGGTCTTCTCGACATCGTCGTTATTATTATTAATATTATATTTTATACCTACAAATAATCACTATTAAATAAATAATCTTATATAAAATTCGTGTGTCACAATGTTAGTTACATACTCCTTCGAAACGGCTAGGCTTCACCGATTTTTATGAAATTTTATATGCATATTCAGTAGGTCTGAGAATCGGCTACTATCTATTTTTCATACCCCTAAGTGATAAGGGTTGTCCATCACTAACATTTTTTTGGTACTTAAACACTATTACTACTTAAGTCCCGGAAAACGTTATTTTGCCATATAGCAAAATAACAACGTTTGCCGGGACAGCTAGTAACTTTATAATTATTTGGTTTACGTCAATTCTATGGCACTACTTGTCAACCTTTGAGTACTTGGTAAATGGTTGTCTCTACTTAAACTGTTTCGCCATTTATAATAATTATACATGAAGAACGCACCTAATCCTAACAATACAACGAGGCACGCCAAGGTGACATATATGGGAATGTCAGAGCTTACAAATTTATCTTTATCACTTTTTACATGATCTTGTACTGATGTACTATAATATTGTATTTGAGAACTGTTTTTTTCTATTAATTGTTTTAAATAAATATTAGTTACGGTTTGTGATTCATTGTATACCTTAATAAGTTTGTTTATAGAACTAAGAACATTCTCCATACTTTTTTTTGTTTCATTTTGGTCTACATCATTTCTTTTAGCAAAATTTTCGATTGTATTACGGAACATTTCCATAGCGTTAGATAAATAATCGAACGCTGTAGTTACATTACCCAGTACACTGTTATCCAATGTCGGATGTTTGTTTTTTCTTTGTTCGGTTCTGCATGTAATTCCATTAACATTTTCAGAATGATAATCCAATATTTCTGAAGTTACTGTTAAGTTATCCAATAAATAGTCATTTGTTTTTAATTTAATCAAATCATTACAAGGAATTATATTACCTCCTATAAGTAACTTTTTTACATTTGTATTTATGAAGTCATCGAAATTTATTTTCTCAATAACATTATCATTAAGGGAAATAACTGAAACTACTGGACTACTGTGTAATACATTAAGTTCAAAGGAATGCAAAAAATTACTAGATAAATTTAGTTCAATCATATTCTCGAGTCCATCGAATACACCATATTGCAATAGTGATATATCATTACCATGAAGGTTCAATGATCGTATCATTTTCGTTTTCAGAAAAGATCCTGGTTGAATGTTAGTGATTAAATTAAAACTTAAATCAAGATTTGTCAGATAGGGCATACTTTGAAAAGAATGCTTGTCAATAAATCTAATTTTATTTGATCTTAAGTTTAAATTCAGTATATTTTTAGTGTTGTAAATAAATAATAAATTAATATCAATAATATCACAAAACGATACGTCTAGGTTAGCCACACTAGTATTCTTGGAATTTTGAAAGTTAAATGATCTTTTAACATTTTTTAATGAAATATCATTTAATGATGGCAGATTATCAAATACTGCGCCATTTAATATCAGTTCCTTGTTATTTTCAAGATTTACATGTAATAGTTTAGTCAGAACATTAAATGAACTTGGATGTAAGTTCATAATATTGTTGTTTTGTAAAAATAACGTATCGATATTAACCATATTATAAAAAGTCTGCTTAGATATAGTTCTGATTTTATTATTATTTAAATACAATTTATTTACACTGATAATACTAGTAGTATCTATAATAAAATATTCCAAAATATTATGAGACAAATCTAAAACTTCTAATGAACCAGTATTTTGAAAAGCTCCATAAGCTAAAATTGATAATTCACCATGAGATGAATTTAGTACTTTAAGGCTGCTCATACCAGAAAATGTATTATTTTCATATGTATTGCTTCTAGTGTACGTAATGTCGAGCTGCGTTAATGCTACTAATTTTTGAAAAACATATGAACTCAGTCCAATTGTTATCACATTGTTATTTAGGTATAAAGTCTCCAGCATTGAAAGGTCATCAAATGAATGCTCTTCAATTTCAGTAATAATATTTTGGGAAAAATCTAAAGTTTTCAACGAAGTAAGAGCTCGGAAAATAAATTTCGAAATTTTTTTAATTTCATTATGACTGATATTTAAATATTCCAATTTATGAAAGTGGCTAATATTAAAATCCACATCACTTAGTTTATTGTAAGATAAATCTAACACCAATAATGCATCGAAAGATTTAAACGCGTCCTGAGATATATTGTATATACAATTTCGACTCAAATTCAAAGATTCCAATGGAAATTTACAAGTATCAAGAGTTATAGTTTTCACCCTTAATAATTTATTGTTACTTAAATCCAGGTTTTGTTCACAAATGCCATTAAATGTGGTACTATCTATAATATTAGAGATATTATTATCTTTGACACGGAAATGTTCAATTAATTTTCCTTTAAATATTTCAGGGGCAATAGTCGTTAATAAATTTTGAGAAAGATAGACTGTTTGTAATTTATTATTATTCTTAAAATAGCTATTTGATAGAAAAGAAATCTGATTATTACTTAAATCTAAGACTCTCAGTTCAGAAAGATTTTGAAATGTCGTCTCTTCAATTTCTTGTATTGCATTAGAGCTTAGATTTAGTTTTTCTAATTTAGACATTACTTGAAAATTGGATTCAATTAATATCTTTATATTGTTATTGTCCAATGTTAATTCCAACAAATCATTAAATCTCATTAATGTATGCTCAATTTGGTAAAGTTCATTATTGGATACTTGTAAAGTTTGAAGGGCTGATATACCTTCAAAAGTCCGAAAATTAAAATTCTTAATGTGATTGTAAGATAAATTTAAGTGAAGTAATGTTTTAAAGTATTCAAAATAATTATCTGGAATTTCTGATATTGAATTATGGCTTAAATCTATTGACTCAATATGATTGTTATTAGTTAATTCATTTATACTATTCTTATTTAACTCTGTTATAATATTATTTGAAGCATTAATTTTATTTAATTTATTATTTTTTACTAAATCTGTCAAATTTATTACGGTAAGATTGTTATCACTTACTTTAATGTCAATAATATTTTTTAATGTATATACTTCTTCGGGCAGCAAATTTATATTACAGTTTGTTATTTCCAATCTTTCTATGTTACTCTTAGGTATTTGATCGGGTAAGATTTTGGAATCTTCATAAAACGGTATTTCATATGGCCCTGATTTGAAATTGCGTAATTTTAAGTTTATTTGGTACACATTACTACTCAATTTGTCCATATTATGATTGTAATAATGTGAATCATATCTTCCTCTATAATTTAATTGGTCAAAACAACTCCATGAACGTATGGCATTATATACATTTCTATATTCCGTATATCCATCACAGTATATAGTTCCGACGCAATGTACATCTAACTCGTTCTTGAAAACGCAGCCATTGTAGCTTGAAACTGAATCTGTTGTTGAGGTTAACAATAAAAATGAAGTAATAAGGAAAATTTTAAAATCTGTAACAAGGAAAAATGTACATTAATATAACAAATGTTGGTGCGGCAAGTAGCGACGTTCTTTATATTATACTAGTACTACACAAGTATTCAATTGTTATTTCTACATTTCATTAAGTATTTATGATTATTTATTTTATACCAAAGAGGCATAGGGTATACTGCCCTCTCTCGGATTACGTTTATATGTTATCGGTGTTTCTATTACCGGAGATTCAGTGAGATTTTTTTATGTAACTGGAATAGTAAAGAAGCAACTGTCGACTATATATATGAACAGTATAATACTATACTATAGTACAGTATAAGCACGTTATCATAACTGCGTGTTATGATAACGTGATAAGTATTATTATTAATATTTCACAGGAGTTAAACCCTGGCAAGTATCGAGGGCCAGTATCATATGTATCATGTGGAAGCCAGACACTATGGTATCAACCGAAAAGCAAATAAAAAAAGCTTACAAAGCAAACTGTATTAAAAAACTTAAGAAAGTTTATAATCGGATTTAGAAATTCATTCACTCGGTGGTTTAGCTGTTTAACACACCGCTTTATTCCGATGGTCGTGGGCTCGATTCCTGGCACGGTACAAACATTTGTATTCATGAGTATGATTGTTTGATAAAGTCTGGGTATTTGTCTATATATATTACTAACTGTGCCCGCGGTTTCACCCGCGTGAAATGATGTATAAGCTATATTACTGTAAAGTTTCATCAAAATCCGTTCAATAGTTTTTGCGTGAAAGAGTAACAAACATCCATCCTGAACAGATTTTGATGAAACTTTACAGTAATATAGTTTATACATTAGAATTATCCATAATTTTCATGCGCGGGCACAGCTAGTAAATAAATTACAGGACATGTAGTCATGGCATTTTTATCCTCCAGAATGACAACGCATGTGTGTTATCACAGGCGTTATTTGATAATTTAATATGTTATTGTTCACCATTACATCTGGTGATCTGTATTACAGGTTACACCTATTTTAGACACAAGCTCACAGCATATTGTAATATCAAAAATTCTACATATATTTGTTTGTCATCCACATTTGTGAGGAGAAATAAATAAATACATATTATTATTACAATTAAAAAACGAACGCGTCGCATGGTAACATGATGCCTGTGGTGTTGTTATCATCACCATCCGTCGGTCATCCCTAATGTTTACTAATATTATAAATACGAAAATAACTCTGTCCGTCTGTCTGTCGGTCGAACACGCTCAATATGCTGAAGCTATTTAAATCAAATTTGGTACACAGATAGTCTAGACCCTGAAAAAGGATATAGACTACATTTGAATGCGAAACAAAAAGTAAGGTGTGAAACGGGAAATAAAAGGTACTATTGAAGTATCGTCATTTTTAAAGCTAGAATCTTAATATATATATTTTTGGGCTATTGAATATGACAGTCAAAGTTTGTAAAAAAATATCCTTAAGGGTGTAAATTAAATAGGGGATGAAAATTTATGGAAAATCGTCAGGTTTTTTGGGTTAGACTATTAATTATTATACGTATGTGTCTTATTTGTAAAATAATTAGCCTAAATAATTAAAAATGCCATCCAAAGTCACTATTCCACGAGAACGACGCGCGGGCATAGCTAAGTCATTATATAACTACAATATGTACATGTACATTGTGTTTATATAAAAATGAATTTGAATTGTTTGATTGATTGCAAGCAAATTTAAAAAGGATTTGCAATATTTGAATGTAATACATACCCATGTCTGCTACTTAAGTAGCCAAGTATTTATGTACGTTAAATAAATTATTTGTTATATTCACTCTTTAAATTAATATTTCTGACGCGCACTATACGTGAGAATGGTGATTCTTCAATGAAGTGATAAGTATATAGTTGTGCATTGTACACATTGGTGACTAATTTATTATCAGTACCAACTATATACAAAATGATAAGTCCTATACATAATTGCTTTATTTCAACTGACTACAAAAATATATTAAATTATTCATCTACTGAAAAATTATATGTATATGTTGGTTGACGTGCAAGCATTAATTTTAGACACGTAAAGAGATTCTTCTGTTATAGATCTTGTAAAAAAATAAAAAAATTCAAGATTCAATTCTTTATTTTTTTTTATACTACGTTTGTGGCATACAAGCATACGGCCCATCTGATGGTAATTACCGTAGCCTCTGAACGCCTGAAACACCAGGGGTATCACGTACGCGTTGCCGGCCTAAGGTAACCCTTTTTTAAGAAGGGTATATTAAGAAACCTTAAAAAAGGGTTACCTCTATTTAGGTAACACAACCCTTACTAAAGTTAAATCCTAAGATGTTAATTGTGATTGTTAGCACATGAAACCTCTTTTTGTATAAAAGGCATAAAATTAATTAATTTTTTATTTTTTTATTTTAACTTTAATGCACAAAAACAATGTGTACATATGGCGGACTTAACACCATGCGGCGTTATCTACCAGTCAACCATGAGTGGTGCAGAGAAAGATTTTCTAATTAATGTAATAAAAATAAATAAAAACTTCTTTTCTTTCTGTCAACAAGATCTATCATTTATTATTAATTTTAAATGCAATAATAATATATATATATGCTATAGTTTCTAATTTATATATATATAGATCACAATTAGAAACACTAATTTTCGGCCGCAGCTGGTCTTTACAACTTCCCCGAACAGTAGGTGGTGAGACTCCAAACTAGCGGAAGGATTTACGGAAACGACTTGTCTAAGGGCACCGCTGGCAGTTCTAACCTCAACTCTTGCCGTCGTAATCGATCGAAGGTGGATAGCTTTATTAGGAATATACAAATAAACAGATGTGAAATAAAAAAAATCATTAAAGTCAGATGACATGGACTGAATTCTGATGTGACATACAAAAATACAGTCGAATTGATCTTTATTAAAATCAGTTTAAAATAAGAGAGGGAGACGATATACTTAGCTTTCCGTGAATTCACCGTACGGGTGGCATATCCATCGTGTGGCAGAGAGGAAAACTCCGAGTAGTTCCCGAGACTTGTGACCCGGGTATAGGTTTAACCTCCTTGCATAGGAACGTCAATACTCGCCTTCACCGCTCGTGTTTCTCTCCCTGCCGCTGCTTTGCATACACGTTCTATTGTAGAACTTACTGCAATTCTAGATAGGCCAAGACCTTTTAGAAGATTATGGAGAGATTTCGCTGGTATACCTATCACTCCCACTTAGACGGCATATAAATTAACTACATAGCCATTTTCCGTAAATTCGTTTGTTAGTTCCTAATATTCATTTGTTTTTGCTGCATGGTCTTTAGTTATATTTGTTTCCCTCAGCTCTAATAGTATTACAATTTTTAGTTTGTGCGAATATATTAATTTATATGTTCTGAATGATAAGATACCTACATCCTCTGGCGCTTTTAGTACGTGTCCATTAAAATAGTCAAGTAAGGTAGAATATCTAGGATTGAGGCTTATTCTTAGAGTTCCGAGTTGTGCCTTCTGTTATAAAGTTAATTTGTCTATTATTTGTGGCCAATTCTTCTTGGCCTCTAGCTTCAGAAAGACTTACAGCTTAATGTATAATTTGAAATACTTTATCATGGCGTCGAGAGTAATGACTCGTATCCAGAAGCATGTTGCATCCCGCCAATATGTGTCTTGCTATAGCAAGATTTTTCAGAGGCTTTTCCCAATCTTACTAAATTATTTTGGGATTTGGTAACATTTAAGGTAGAATTTCAATAAGGCAGGAGACCAATTATGTACATATCAAGGTCACTTTTGAGCTGACGGAATGCAGATATAACCAACCATTCGTGTTACATTTTTAAGTTCATTATATGCATTTTATAGCTGTCATTTTCCTTTCTTAACAATTTTTAACAAAAATTGTAACTAAATTCAAGAAACTCAGTTTGCTATGCTATATATAACTTCAGATGCTATTTTGTGTACCTCAGCAATCAATTCCATGGAGTAGAATAGAAATTATTTCTATTAAAGCGATCTTGATGGTACCACTTGGAGCCTCCTCCACGATCGGAGTGCAAATTCAGTAAAGAAGATTGAAAGAAAAATTGGTACCAGATCTAACTAGTGCTCTTTTTAAACAAATATTGTACAGGTTTACACGGTTATAATTACATTTATATAGGAAATTCGTACAACCACACTACATAATGTACTATGAACAACGTATTAATAACAATATTATTATGAACAGGGATTAAGTGCGTAGCGGTTTCTATGTTGATTGTCGCATGCCTAATCCTTGTTGTTAATTAAATATAAGTAAATCAATATTTATTTAAAAGAGCAACACACAAGTTTCTTGCTTATTCCTCCTGTGATGAATCTGCATTCCGAATAAGCGGTAGAATAAAAAACTTAACTATTCAAAAGTGCTTATATTAAGTTTATTTGAATAAAGATTATTTCTATTTATATTTCTATTATTTGACACAAATGTTGCATATCTCTTATCCGGGGAATTACCTCATAGTTTTATGATACTTATGTTGTATTTATGTTCATTCCACAGTCTGCTTTATCAGCAGTATAACACTGAATGTAATGTGCAGTATACACTGTTGTTATCTTCATAAGGACTGTAAATACCAAACGGCAACAAGCAACCTTTATGTTCGTCACTATTACCTTGCTTTATCATCATTATATATTTGTTACTTTTTTAGCTTTCTCCTGTTTGTATATTACCTACCTGTTCGATATTTAAATCCGTTTCACTAAGATTGCCTTGAAAACATTGCTTTCAGCAATGAGGCAGCCTTATTATAATTATACATGAGTTCTTTAATATATTGTTTATGCCTTTTCTTTACTGTATGTTACAAATAAAACATATTCTATCTGTTTATGTATCAATTTGTTGTTTTTTTATAATAATATGGATATCACATTTTCGAGTTTATCGATTTGAAACTTGACATATTGAAAATAATAAGATACTGGTTATGATATATATAATAGTCTTATATATAAAATTCTCGTGTCACAATGTTACCATACTCGTCCGGCTTACCGATTTTTATGAAACTATACAGTAATATAGCTTATGCATCAGAATAACACATAGGCTATATTTTTTATTGAAATTTAACCCAGGTAAAACCGCGGGTACAGGTAGGCTTGTTTAGTAATAATACGTAATATTATGTTATCTGTGGTAATAAGATCTCAAGAAAATTGTATAAACATAGAGCTATCTGGTTTCATACTAAGCAGAGCTTGTGTTATACAGTATCCACTGGACAGCTGGATTAATACATATTTTTTTGTAAGTACATAGATACATAATATGTATAAACAATGATCGTGTCAAATTTAAACCAGTAACATACATAATATACACAGAAAACACCCAGACCGATACAAACAATCATAATCATGAATACTAATGTTTGTGCCGTACGATGAAACGAAACCAGAACTATCCAAATTAAGGCAACGTGCTAAACCGCTACACCACCGAGTCCTTTAGAAATTCTCATTATTTATAAATACAATTTAAATGTAGAATACATTACGTATCTACGTTAACATTAATATGAAATTTACTCGCTTCCTGAATTCTTCAATTGAATTTATTTTACCTTTGATTTATTTTTCTTATACATTATACATCAGAACGAAAACACTCTATGGAAAATTACAAGTGGAAATAAATAAATGACATAAAACTGTTATTAGTCAATCATTTTATTATTAATATTAATTACACTGATCATCTTATCTGACTATTCGATTAAAGTATTGTTATTATAGTACATATCTAGGATACATATAATTTAAAAGAATATATGCATTATTTATATTATTAACCGGGTCTTAACACGAATAATTACCGCTATCGACGTTTCGACTAGGTTGCACTAGCCGTGGTCCCGAGCTGATTATATTATTCAACGAAAGTTCACGTCACACAGTACTCACGATGTTCGTTGAACAATCTAGTGACGGTAGATGAAAAAACTGCTGTCACCTGTCTACATTGGCATCGCTGTTACTCCAGACAGCTCGTGATCATGGCTAGTACAACCTATTCGAAACGTCGAGTGAGGTAAATACCTTTATTTGCCATAAAATTATTCGTGTTAAAACACGGTTAATAATATATATAATTTATATTAAACACTAAAGTTTAAAAATAATAATATATGCATTCTTTGAAACTGCCAAAATAGTGAAATAAGCTGCGTACATGTATACACATTTAATATAGGTAATACTTGGCTGATTAAATAAATAAACGATATGACGATATTGTAAAGATTTCATATTTTTATTCTTATCTTGGTTAGATAACAACAAAAATATGAAGTGAAGACATAATACTACAACAATCCACATTACACACTAATACATACTCAAAATTAATAGTAAAAGTAAGAACAAAATAAAGTGTTTTTTATGCAACGGGTTTAAGCTGCCCAATGGAAAAAGAATGTTATTTATTTTATGAGGACTTTTTAACATATATCGTAATTGGCATACATCGTACGGTAAGAAATCAACAAGGTAACAGAGAGACCATGTGGGCCAATCCCTTTTTTATGGCTTATTATAAATACCTCAAGAATACAAAAGAATCCATACCAATCAAACCATATTGTAATTATTTTATGTCACTATAATACCAGACAGAAAAAACAAGCAATAATATAAAAAGCAACAATTTTTGTATTTTATTTCTACATATCAGTTCTGTATATTTTTATGAAATTCTTAAATTAGTACGAACTAAAAGAACTAATTACGGTAATTAAAATCTTTGATTATTCAGTAATTTATCTCGAACAGATCCAAGAATCTATTTAGAATTATATATTATGGTATAGAGCCATCATCCATGATTCAGCACTAAACCAAATGTCTCTTGTCTCGCAATTGAAAAAATAAAAATAATATAATAATAAACCTTGATAATACAGACATAGTTTCTAGCTAAGCAAAGCTTGTGCACTGGACAAGATAGACATATTCAAATTCATTGTTTTTCTAAATACATATATGCAATGCATATAAAAGACCCAGATTAATACAAACAATCATACTACCAGAAGTAAGGGGATTTGTTAAACTACTAGACCATCGGGGCCATCCCAGAGATTGCAATATATAATTACAAATTTGGGCTTTCCATGGAACCCGGTAATTCACGTGAACTGTAAGTTCTTCTAGACTTCATAAACATATTAGACTTATAGAATTTGTACAAAATATAAATAACTATAATGATTAATATCAAAGCAACACAAGTCTCAATAAACCATGACTGATGAGTGGATTCAGTTGGATCTTTATTAGCAATTAATTTTTCACTACTCTGTTGCTTTGTCGATGCAAGTAAAGATTCCACAGACTTAACACGCGAATTAAGGTAAGATATTTTGCTTTCCAATTCGTCAAGTACATTTTGTTTTTCTACGGATATTACACTTCCTATGTCTTGTTTCATTTTATTTATGTAAGTTACCAAGTTTTCATATGTTGCATTATCTTTTGAGAGAGATGTCTGAGGTATCTGTAAGGTATTATTAAAAACCATTGTTTTTAAAATTTTCTGTAACAGAATATTAGTTTTAATACTTTCGATTGATATTGCTAATGACTGATTCATTATTATTGCGAGGCTTTTGTCAAGAGTATTACTTGACTTTTCGATGTTGTCTTTAATAATTTTCCAGTATTCAGTGTCTTTATTCTCTACTGAATTATAAGTATTATATTCTTTAGCCAACTTCATCATAATATCTCTTATATCGAACAAAACTTTTTCGTTTTCTAATGATTTGCTTTCATTAGTATGATCTGAATTAACTTGTGTAATCGCTCTGTTTTTTTTACAAGTAATACCATGAGAATTTTCGTTATGTATATCAAATCGAATAGAAGTTATATTAAAAGATGTAACACTCTTCTTCAAGTTCACAATTATATCACATGGCAATGGATTATCGCCTATACTAAGAACTTCTAAATTGGTCCCCACAAATTCTTCCGCCGAAATTGTATATATGTTATTATGGTCCAATATTAACTCTTTCAAATTTTCAGCTTCGTAAAATCGTTCGCTGTCCATATCGTCAATAAAATTATATGACATATCTAATATCTGCAAGGAATTCAATCCTCGTAATATTCCATATGTGATTGCAGTTAATGAATTGTGTGAAATATTAAGACACTGAAGTTGATTATTATCCTTAAAAGAACCAGCCTGTACATTCGTGATTAAATTATAACTCAAATCTAAATTGATTAAATCGTATAATTTGAAAAACGCACCTGATACTAACTTTTGTATTTTATTATCTTTTAAATTTAAATATTTAATATGTGGCATTACCTGCAGGTTTAATTTAGTTACATTTTCTATATTTGATTGCGCTATATCTAATCTTGACAATGTAAGGGATTTTTTTACATTTGTGAATACAATATTTGTACGAATTCCAGACAATATTAAATCATGTATATGTTTATTGTTAACAAACTGTGATATATTTGTATTCAATTTTGAATTATATGATAAATCTAAACTTATTAAGTTTGGTTGACCAAAAAATGTATCGCTTTCGATCTTTTGAATATTGTTATTTGCTAAATTTATATTCTTCAGACCATCAAATCCATGAAAATAGTTGGCATAAATAGACTTAATTCTATTATTGTTAAGTAACAAAGTATGCAAATTCTTCATTTCTGTGCAGTTTATAGAAAATGTTGTTATTGCATTATAAGAAAGATCTAACGACTTTATAGAGCCCGTATGCGAAAAAGCATTGTATTGCACTACAGTTAAATTACTATGAGAAATATTGAAATATTTTAATTGTGACATTCCGCTGAACGAATTATTATTAATAATTGTTAAATGCGTTTTGGATATATCTAAAGATGGCAAAGCATTCAACCCATCAAATGTACCTTCCTGTAACGCACCACTGAGAGGATTATTATAAATTTGGAAAATTATTAAATCGCGTAGTGACTTAAATGCTTTAGATTCCAAAGACGATATATTATTGTAAGATAGATCCAAAAATCTAAGCGAGTTTAAATGATTATAATATTCATATTTTATTTGAGTTAGAAAATTATTACGTAAAAAGAAAGAACGAAGACTAACTAAATCTTCTTTATCGAAATCAATGCTGGTAATTCTGTTATTAGATAAATCCAAATGTACTAAACTTTGGAGTGATTTAAAACTATTTTTAGATAACGATCCAATGTCATTATTATTTATGAAAAGTTCTTGTATTCTTTCGAGACCAAAGAAGGTATAATCTTCAATAGAAGTTACGCACTGGTTGCTCAAATCTAACTTTAAAACAAATCTCAAACCTTGAAATAAACCTTTTACGATAGGACCCTCTAAGGTATTGCCTGTTATAGAAAAGACAATAAGATTTTTATCTTTAAATAAATCCTTTGGTAATATTTTAAGTTTATTATTAGAAATATCAATCTTTGTCAAATAAGTATTATTAAAAAATGCGTCACGGTCTATTGAATATATTTCATTATTATTTAAGTTAACAGTTTTTAGTAAAATCATATTGTAAAATATTGTTTTTTCTAAGTTAACAATGTTGTTGTAACTGAAATCCACAGATTCTAACTTTTTTAGCATTGCAAAGTCTGTCGCATCTATTGTGCGAATTTGGTTATGACTAATATTAAACGTTTCCAGATCAGTAAATCTGAACAGAGAGGAATTAATATCAACTATCTTATTATGCGAAATATCCAAATGAATCAGGCGTTTTATACCTTCAAAGGTCCCAATACCCAAGAACAATATGAAATTGAATGACAAGTCCAATGAAGTGAGCTTACTAAATGTATCAAAAATAGCATCTGGTATTGTTGTTAATAAATTATGAGATAAATTTAATTTGGTTAGGTTTTTATATGGGAACTCATTCTCATCATTGACTTTTATAGTTTTAATAATATTGTTCGACAAATCTATTTCTCTCAAAAGTGGTAGTTCTACAACATTAGAAAACTTTGCTACACTAATACTGTTCATTGACATATTCAGATATATCAAATTGTCCATTCTCATGACATTGGGACAAATACTCAGTCTGTTACTACTAACATCAAAAGTAGAAATTGCCATTTGATAAGCATAATCCGGTAGTGGAATAGTATGTATAGAATCTTCTAAATTATATCGATATGTAAGAGATATTTTAGATAAAATTGTGCCGTAATTAGGTGAATAAAAATAATTATTATTTGAACAATTATTATATCGATGATCTATATTTGTAACTAAATCTTCTTTTGTATGGATAAAACTATCCAAATAATTTAGATTATTCACACAATAAACATTTATTTGACAGTTTGCGGCATTATAATCACCTGTACATCCATTTCGAGGCCATGTTATTGAAAGCACGTATGGAAACGTTATTAATAAAAACGGGATACCTGTAATACACAATTAAACAATGAATAATGAACATTAAAGCAAACAAGCAGTTTCTAGTAAAGTGCTTAGATATATATGTACCTAGATTAGAATTTTATTACATCTTCAGTAGGAACACACATAAAGGTTCAGTTACAAACTATGTATATTACAGAAGATTTAGAATAAAATATTCAATACGGATAAACCTGCATGTGTGTGCTGCAATTCAAAATTACTTATACCTCAGCGTGAAGAATCGTTCAATTTTCAGCGAAAACCGCGAATTTGAATGTAATAATAATGTAATAATAGAAAATAAATAAATAACAAAGTATCCAAAAAATTTAAGAGACATATTTTATTACACGTGAATGTTTTTAAAATTAATAACTAGATATGTATTGTGGTAAGATAATAATAAAATTAAAAATGAGTAAATGTAAGTTTTAATAAAAAGGAAAGGAACAATAAAATACAACTACACTCCGCGACCAGAACATTTTAAATTTTGTTATTTTAATATGAGTGTTTTTGAATAAACTGATATTACGAGTTTGCTTAATCAATTAAGCAACCTCTATTTGATGTTGCTTAATACTATCTAAGAATGATGTTAGAGTCTCTTAAAAAGTCAGTTTAGTCATCACTGACATGCTACAGAAAATATTATTACTTTTTAAGAGACTCTAATAATATACACATATAATTTATGCTCTGACTCTAAAACTACAAATTATTTTAGTTTACTGTAATCAAACATACATACATATATAATATATTTGTGTACTCTTAATTGAGTTAATTTTATTCGTAGTATGCAATAAAATATTGGTCAATACAAAATTAAATATAAATAATGAAGAAAACAACCCAACAACCCGTAAGGGGTTGAAAGGAGTGATGAAAGTTTGTATGCAAATATAGTCATTTCTAAAGCTAGAAGCTTGAAACATTTTTTATGCTATTGATTAAATATAAATAAAGAAAAAAGGGTTGAAAGGGGAGAAAAAAAATGTATGAACAACTAAGAAACAAATAAATACACCCTGGACATTAATGAACGCAGCGCCATCTAGTGTCAAAGTAAGCATAGACAACAGAATACTAATTATAAAAATTGTTGCCATACTTACCGAGGAATGGACCCATATCAATATCCTGTAGACATAGAATTAATGTACTGTGTTTTATATTATAAACTGAAACAATAGACAATATTACAAATACATTTTTAATTATATTCTTGGAGTCTTCTTGATGTTCTAAGCAGATGTTGTCGCAGTAAAATACATATGCCTTTATAGAAATTACATAATAATACTAGAATTATAAATCTGGATTTATAAGAGAGATCTATTAGTTTATAACTTTTTTGGTTTAAGTTCTTTTAAAATACATTATGAGGGTGACGAAGCTGGAGTCGAGTCACAACGCAAGTTTCAAGGCATTTGTAGCCCAAGTCCCCACGTATCATGCTGCCCACCTTCATGAAAGAGAGCTTCTGGCGGAAAGGGTGTATCAGCTCTACTGTGGCAGATTGCCGTCGTTAGTGCAGCGACCATAGAGACAATTTATATTTATATTTTATTATTATTTCATGTGTATTTTAGTCTATAAGGTAATTATAATATGGGTTATTAAGCCTGAAATAAATTAATAAAAAAAAAGTTAAATAATTTAAATTAATTTTTTTAAGTTAAATAATTTACTTTATGTTTCTTTTTTATTTTTGTTTTATTTTTCGAACTATTTTAATGATGTTGGCCGCAGCTCACATTTACATCTTCATCGAATGGTAGGGGCCGAGTGCAAAGACTCCAAACTCGCAGAAGTACTTACGGAGCGGCTGAAGGCCAACTCCTGCCTGACGGATCCCGTTTGGGGTTCGAACCTGGGCTATATTTTTCTTTTAACATATATTGTGTTCATTTTCGGATTGTGTTGTTTTTAGATTAATAAATAAATAAAATATAAACGAATTTAAATAAAATTTTAAGTTAAGATACAGATAAGTAACGAGTATGAATAGAGGCGATCTTTTATCTATAATAAAAAAACTAAGTCGCGCTTAACGGCTAGTTCATATATAAACTATTAAATTAAATATTTTAAAATATTGTTTAGAAGAAAAATTCATATGATATTAAGATATCATATGAATTTTTCTATTTATAATATATATATTATTATTTTTAATTTTATTTGACATGACATTGACATGTCGCTACATACACGAACAGTATTACGGATATCACGCCATCACACCCGTGCTAATATTAATGCGTTTTCTTTCCTCTTATCCTATAATTTCACTGCTTTATCACTCTTCAATCGAAACATATCATATAAAGCTACCTGCTATCAAGTTGTAATAGGTGAGACTGACTTAGGGAAGCCCACCCCACAGGCTCCAGGGTGAAGGAGCGAAAATCAGGAGGGGATGCCCATCTGCTCCACTCGTACTGATAGAAGTGACAGGGGCGGCAAACAAAGTCGCCCCTAGATTACTACCGGGCCGCCCCTACATCAGTATGATGTAGGGGCGGCCCGGTCCGAAGCAGTCACGCGTATATACCCGCCTTCCTGATGAAGGGGAAAGTAGTGGGTTTCATAAGTAAGCTCGCAGAGATGGGGCCCACTGGGGACTGACATCGATCCCCTAACTCGGGGACTGTGGCGTTCGATGAGGGACATCTTTGAGTTTTTAGTGAATAGAAGTATCATAGTACCCGCTTGCCTCCTCCGGGGGAATTGAAGAATCTCCATGCGGGTTTTCCCCAAGTAAAAAAAAGTGACACGTATGCAAATTTTTACAAATGCATTTAAAGAAATCTTAATTCATCTAGTACTTACTTGTTTACGTTTATCACCGTTAACGCAGGCAATTCCACGTGTTATAGTTAAATAGTAAAAATAAGATTCAAATAATATTTGGTCTATAACATATAATACGTTTTTCATTTATCCATATTTATTAGTGAATCAAACAATAGACTTCCTTCCTAGTGGCAGTCGCAGTTATGTGTGGCCAGTAATGTATAGGTATATATTTCCAAATGTTATATATTAAATTAGGAGTACGCGGTGTAATAATTAGACGAAGTTTAATTAATATATTAACACTAACAGTTACCCGCGAATTAGTCTGCTTTACTTGACACTAGCTGCGCCATTAAATTTCAAAACATAAATATTAATAAAAAATATAGACTATACGTTATTCATCAAAATCCGTTCAGTACTTTTTGCGCGAAAAAGTAACCAACATTCAAACTCACAAACTTTCGAATTTATAATATTACTAGCTGCGTCCCGCGGTTTCACCTGCGTTAAATTTCAATATAAAATATAGCCTATCTGTTATTCTGATGCATACGCCATATTACTGCAAAGTTTCATCAAAATCCGTTCAGTAGTTTTTACATGAAAGAGTAACAAACATCCTTAATTTTAATGCGAAAGTTTGTAACTTTCGCATTTACATATAATATTAATAATAATAAGATAAATGTAACTCATATACATATTTGTCCATCTTCATTAAGATCCATCTGTGTACTTAGTCTTGAAAGTGTATATATACAGACAGATATACGTTTAGTATACATTATTAGCTTAACGCCATCTAGTCCGAAGATAAGCAGAGCTTGTGTGAAAATAAAACTGGTTGTTTTCTATGTACTTATAAAAAATAATTTGTATAAGTATAGTGGACAACTGATTACTTAAATATATACAAAATATATTTTATAAATACATATAAAACATCCAGTCAGATGCAAACAGCACACCGAGTTTTGATTTGATTGATGAATGAGTGACAATAGATGCTGTTTTAATTTATATATTCAGAAAACTATTGTACGGAACCATGTCTTATTATAAAGAAATAGTTGGTTGTAACTTTATCAATTGTACTGACAGGACGCAATATGATATCGACATTTATATATAATATTTTTATCATTGTCTGTCCGTTAAGTATAGAATGGGCTCAGTATTAGTAGAGATAAAGTGTGTACACACGGCTCCAAAATCGTTAGCGATAACGCAACAGTAACTGGGAGTGTTCTAGATTATCTTGATCGCCTCTTGTTCAAATTTTACTTATTATTTTTTGCCCGACAAGGCAATGCGATCAAGAAAGCTAATTTTCTCCACCAAATCACCGTCGTCACCAATGATTATATGGCAGTGTACTAAGTAAGTTTTCGCTGCGTTATAATCTTACGTTATTAGTTTATATTACGTTACTACTAGCTGCGCCCGCGACATCATCTTTGTAGAATCCTGTCCTTGGAGCATCTTTAATTGTTAATGCTAATTATAAAAATTAAATGCTAAAGATAAAAGTTTCATAGATACAGCTTCAAAAATGACGACATTCCATACAAAATTTTGTGCCTATACTTGTAATATTTCTGTCAACACTTGAGACCCTTCCATTAGTTTACGTCTCCACATTAAATTGAAGTACAGCGATCTACTGTATGAAGAGTCGTGACTCATTAAGAGAGAAATTCAAAGAGGCAAATATTCTCACCGTTGCTTCTCAATTTATATATTCAAATATCCTATATGTTCATAAAAATCTTGACTTATTTCCAAAAAACAGCAATATTCATAATATTAATACAAGATTTAAAGACAAACTTGCTGTCCCCAAGTATCGTTTAGAAAAAGTTAATAGGTTTTTTATGGGAATAGGTATAAAAATTTACAATAAGATACCAAAGGATATGTTGGAATTACCCTTAAATAAATTCAAAACATCTGTTAAATCATATTTACTGAGCAAAGCCTATTACTCACTAAACGATTACTTGAATGACGAGTGTGCATGGCAATAGTTGTTCATGCACTGAATTTTCATTTAATGTTAGACATAGACACCTATATAAATATACATTGTAAATAAACTGGCTTTAAAAAAAAAGTAATTCAATTGAGTTTCTTGCCAGTTCTTCTCAATTGGATCTATATACCGAACTGGACGGTAGGGAAAAAAATAAAATTATAATGTAAAAATTTGACGTTCATAAGCGGCTAAAATGTCCTACATGAATAAATGATTTTTGAATTTGAATTTGAATTTGAAGTTGAGTGTAAAGTTAGTCTATGTACTGACTCCGCGTCGAACGAACGCGTTCCTAATAAGCCATGTAGCACACTAACCAATAAAATTACTAATGTACAATAAATAGTACAATTATTTCGCCGGTATACTCACTACCTACATATTACAATAAATAAATATATTATATTGCGACATCTCATCACATAATATATAACGCTACAGTGGTGAGGTGATAACCACTGCGCTACACTTTCATGCTCTATTTTATTTTACCACCTTAAGGGTGAAATTTATACAAACATTGAATGTCATATTTGTTCATATTCACAATATATAGCCTATAAAATAAGTTTCAAGCATCTAACTTTTAAATTGACGATACTTCTATACAACCTTTCGTCTCCCCATTACAACTCTTTTTTGCATTAAAAAGTAGCTTATGTCCTTTCTCAAGGTCTCAATTAAGACTGTATACGAAATATAATTTAAATCGTTTTAGTAGTTTTCAGTATACAGACAGACAGAGTGATATCTAGTGAAAAGAGATTCTAGAAAGGCAAACACTTTTTCCATAACGATATACGAGAATTTTTTTATACTACGATGCTTATTTCTAACAAGAAATAAGCAGACTGCCTATTTGATGGTAAATGGTTGCCGTAGCCTATGGATGCCGACCCTTAAAGAACCTTAATATACCTTTCTTGAAAACCCCATACTGTAGTCTCTCGGAAAAACCTCGGCAGGTAGTACATTCCACAATCTATGTAAGTCGCCTACACTTACATAGATTGTGGAATGTACTACCTGCCGAGGAGGAAGCTCCTCTGAAACCGCACTTTCCGAGATCACTTAGGTTGAATGGACTGTAGACACTACCATTTAGGCAAAATATATAGAAACATGGACTTGAATTCACTTACCATCGTTGAATAAAGAGATTGATTGATTGAATAATAAAATTGTTAGAAAATGATAAAAGATGTCTATTAGTTATTAAGTACATTTAGTTTTTCTCGTCTCTCTTTCTTACATTTTTCACTTATTCACTCTTTAATTTTAATATATATGTAATACTACTTGTCCCGACAAACATATTTTACCATATAAATTAATATTCTAGTAAAAAATAGGGGTTGACGGTAGAAGGGAAAAAATTGAAATTGCATTTATTTTTTAATGCATTCATAATATGTAAAATAAAAATAAAATATATTATCAATCAATTACAAATTTAGGGGTGGGTCACCCTTACCATTTAAGGGTAGGAAAAATAGTTTCCCATATCTACCCAATATGCACAAAAAAAAACATAAAAATCGGTGAAACCATTTCAGAGGAATTTGGTAACAAACATTGCCACATGAGAATTTCATATCTTAGATTTACATAGTATGAGCTCTGCTCACTTTTGTGTGTTAGTGTGATCAATGAGCACCTAAGTAGACTCTGCCCAGCGGTGATGCCAAAACTGTGTACGCATAAATCACTTTAAATAATGGCGGAAAAAGGTGTTAATAAAATAAAAAATATTAGATAGTTTGTATTATATTGAAAATTAAGTAAAAGCAACTAAATCTAATGATCACATTTCAACCGCATGACGAGCACGACAAGTGACACAGACTGTCATTGTTATAATTGTCCTGGATAAAATATTCCAATTTCATAAGTAGCAAAGATTATACTATTTTAATAGTACACAAGCAATTGGAATATTTTCATTCCAAATATACTTAATATCTATGAATTTACTTACAACAGATACAGTTAAGATCCTTTATAATTATACAATATTAAACTAAACATAAATGTCACTACACACAATACTCAATTAGCAGAATATTTTTTTCTATATAATTAAAAAAACATGAGTAAATATACCAAATTATATAATACGATTATTAAAAAATAGTAATATGCTATTGTAAATAGTCGTATTATAAATTATTATAATTGTAATTACACTGGATTTGACTACAAATAAATGAGAAGATTGCAAAGTATTGCTATTCGTCGTATAGACATAAGCAATATAATTTATACTAATCTTATAAATTCTATAACATCTCAGTCTGATACAGCAAAGCAATATTCGCTAAAGTGTCATTCTGATTCAGATGTTTAGAGCTGTAATTTCGGAATAGAATCCCTAACTTTTAGAATCTAATTAGAAACATATACCGATAACATTATTAACTATTGATTATAACACCACTACATGCAAAATAAAACTTAGAAATGTAAGATAATGGCAGTCAGTACTAAATAAGTAATATAAAACTAAATTAACCGTGACAATAAAACTAACCACATAAAATGTTTTTTCAATTCTTATTTGGCATAAATATGAAAATTAATTACTACGTGTAATAAGTCAACAAGGTAAACCAACACAAAATAATTATGTTAGTGTAAACCTAATAAAATAAAAGAAAATATGTAAAAACAAAACAAATTAAACATAATATTTAAATAATAGATGCTCAAATATTCTTAGATCCTGCATATAAGGAATGCCACATAAACTTTCTCAAAACGTATGTCTGATTCTTGATTGCCTCCAAAATTTTTATATTTATTGCCAACAAACGGTCAGAGTCAGACAATACACCAGACGTTGGACTCAACTGTACTATCTCTCCTATTTCACTTTGTACACATGGTATGCCTTCCAAAGAAGGTTCACTCATTGCTGCATTTAGCACGCGAGGTCTCATCATGGAGAAATTATTATTATAATCATTCAAAGCTGTTCCCAACCACTCACAAGTAAATTTGTTGCCATCTATGTAAACTTTTAACTCGTATTTGTGACTAGTCCAACATTTATAGTCTAATAACATCATACTATTATATTCAATAGACAGAATATAAAGAGATTTCAAATCCACAAAAACTTTCGAATCCAAATATACTATGTCATTGTAAGATATGTTTAAATTTTGAAGACCTTCCAGGCCTTGAAACATTCCATACTGAATCCCATTTAAGACGTTATGAGACAGTCGTAAAACTTTCAGTTGTTTAAATTTGTTAAATGTTGCAGGAGCTATTTTACTAATTTCATTGAAACTGAGATCCAAATAAGTAATGTTAATAGGTAAGCATAATGATGATGAATTTAGATACTGTATATAATTTTTGCTCATGTCAATGTACTTAAGATCAACTTGGTGCTTTAAGTCTATATTAGTAGTATCTGATATATTATTGGAGTTTAATATCAACTTGTTTAAACCCGTACCTTCTCCTAGCGCCAAGTTTAATATCGAAATAGCATTATTTGATAAATCAAAAATACCTCCTTCAGAATGAAATATCTTTATGTGAAAATTTTGTAATACTTTTAACCCGTTGAATGTCATATTAATGTGCTTCAAATGATAATTATTGACAAAAATAAGATCAGGGATATAATCTATGTAATTATATGACAAATCTAAATTTTGTAATTTGTTCATTGATAGAAAACATTCGTAATTTAGTTGTGTAATGTAATTATTACTCAAATTTAAATATTCAATGTAAGTTAGCTCATCTGCGTTAATTCGAAAAATCGTTAGTTTATTATATGACAAATTTAGAGATATCAAACGAACTAAATATTGGAATGCGTTAAACTCAATAGTTGATATAGAATTCATGGACAAATCTAATTTAGTCAGAACATCGATTTTCTTTTTATGATGATCATGTCTAGTAAATCGATCCATTAGCTCTACAGAAGTTGCGTTAGGCAAATGTTTTAACTGATTTTCAGAAAGTATAATTTCACAAATAGAATGCTCTACGAAGTGTTGCCAATGTCTCAAAAACATTTCCGGTGTTAGAATATCTAGTTTATTCCGTGAGATATCGAAAATTACCAAATGTTTTAATAGTTCTAAAGAATCGTCATCAATATTTTCTATCTCGTTTCCATTCAAATATAAATTTGTTAAATTAACCAAAGCATTTAAAGCACCAATTTGATGTTTTATATTGTTATTATTTAAACGCAAAGTTTCCAAGTTTGTCAAATTGTCAAAAGAGTTTTCGTCTAAATTTGATATACTATTATGGGAAAGATCTAATTCTATCAATGATGTTAAATCTTCAAACGCCCCGTAAGGTATTTGTTGAATAGCATTGTGTGCTAGATTAAGATGCTTCATCCTGTTTGGTAATATTTCGAATTCAAAAAGACCTTCGATATCAGTTAAGCGATTGTGAGACAAATCGAGTTTTTGCAGTTGACTGAGAGTATAGAACGGATCGTCATTAATCTTTTCTATTTGATTACCAACAAGATGAAGTGTTTGCAGCTGCGGCATATATTGTAAAAGTGGAAGGCTAGTATTTGGCCATACACCGGATGCCCTAAAGTTTGTAATTGAATACAAAAACCTTGTATCCATATTATTATTGATCTCAATAACAGCTTCGGAGAGATACACTTCTACTTTAACATGGTAATTGGTGGAGCCCTGACAATGTTCTGGTAGAGCTATATCTCGGATTGTGCCTATACAATAAAACCGATAACTACAGTTACCAGTGTTGTACATCTTGTCAAGAGGGCAGTAGCAGAGACCGGATGAAGCCATCATCACGACGATCAAAATAAGTATTATATATCCTGAAAAATTAAATCTAATTAATTGAAGAACGGTTTCCAAAAGAAAGATGTGAAATGAGGAACATCCCCGTGTTGGTTGATAAAATATTTTTGAAGTCTATTAAAAATATAGTAATAGTACATATTTGATTGATATTCTAGTTGCATGAGAGGCTTTGGGTACATATGAAACGACTTTAATTCGGCTTACTGCAGTAGATACTTAAACACTATTGGGTCACGCAATTATTCTGCAAATGTGTAATTAAGCAGGACAGTACGGATACGGTCGGGCGACAGTACCCACTCATCCAACCCTTGAGACGAGCAGGTTCCATCATCGATTTTCCGCACATTAAAAAGAAGCCTTATTTAAAGTACCCATGTCTGCAGGCCACATGACTTACATGTTGCAGTGTGATTTGAGTTAAAAATGTTGACGTACAAAATTGACCAAAATATAGGCAATAATGATTTTGCCTTTCACTTTGCGTCCCAGTTTGTTCTTTATTATTAAGTTATTTTAAAGTAATTTTTAATTATCGACTCACCTTTCCTCATTTTGCTCTTGTTAGCGTTCTAGACGATAGGTTTTAATTATTCTGAAATAAACAAAAATATAAGTTCAAATACTTTGCAATATTTCTGTGCCTACACTTGTAAACTTATAATATTTCTGTAACACTCGGCATCCTTACATTTCTGTACGTCTCGTACGTACAGAAATACATCTCACATTAATTAGATTTAACTCCAGTCTAAAGTACATCATCACAATCTACATGACTCCTTTACTTGTAGCACACTGCAAACAACTATAAAATGCCCTCCACCTCCAGCCAACATTTTTCACAATAAACCTATTACTATGGCGAATTAGTATCGCTGTAAATTTACATTGTTTTATGTAAATTTACAGCGATTAAACATGTGTATACGCTCTGCGAACAATAATTTACTTGACGTCTCAGTGGAGAAGTTATCAAAGGTGCCTTAAGATGAATCGTGTATTTATCTAAGTTTGAATTTGCCGCCCCCAGAACTCTGCCGACCGGGACATGAACCATGTTGACCCCCTCTAGATCCGGGGCTGAAGTGACACCAAATGACACCTCAATAATGTACCTACATATTTACCTAATACAACTAAATACATTGGAATTACCGTGCTGTAATTTGAAACACATGTATTGTATAAACAAAACCCAAAACAGATAATATGTTTACCTAAAGATTATATCTTAGTAACCTGATCAAAAAAATGACATCGTATGAATTTGTATACACCCTGTGTGTTTATACCCAGACTAGAGGCATATGGAGGTTGTATAACCTTATATATTGCCTATACATATAAACTGCATAGAAAAAAAAAACATAATAACAATAATCACTCTGTATTACACAGCACCATCTAGCTAAGCACAGCCTATATTATGGATACTAGACAACTGATATCAATACATACATTTTAATTTGTAAACAGCGGGCGAGCGGGTTGTTTTTTATGGAATGGTGCACCCGCCTGCGCTAACGGTTTACGCTGGCGGGGCACCACTGGAGGATGATAAGATGAGCATGAGGTCAGGTCAGTTAGCCCTTCGTGACAAATTCACCAAGAATTTATAGCGATGGTTACCAGGGGAAGCGTGGAGGTGAACCTGACTGATGCATTTCTAGCAACAGAATCATCAGTCCACATTACTAACAATCACCTTTCCCCCCGGGCGGGCGGGGTCAGCAACTAATATTTAATGCATGAACGATGTTATTGGCACGGGCCGTCCGACTATTATCGGAAATATATGGAGAACCTAAAGGGAAACATAATTATGTTTCGATTCATATTCATATTATTAATTACAATACCGAAATCAAATTTGAACCTCGAAAGTCTTCCTCTCACTCTCGAAAAGATGTATAAAAAATGAAGGGAGAGTAAACTCAGAGGATGCAATATACTACGCCAGTCATAAATGATGGGAGAAACCGAAATTCTAATAAATTTTTACAAGTTAAAATAATTATATAAAATATTCACCTGAACAGCCATGTAAAGTGTCAACGTGCGTCGCAAGCTAGAACCAAGCTCAAAGTCCGTACAATATGTAACATAATTCGACTCCCGATGTACATAATGCTGATCCCAGTGAAATGAGAATGTCAATGAATCATGCAATCCATAGCTATAGTTATATTATTATTATATGCCTACAACCAAAATGTCTCTCTGAGGCAGGTTTCTACATTTTTTTTAGTTAATACAAAACACAGTTTTCTTAAAATTGGACTAACAAATGGAATTTCCGAAATGGCCAGTCCTTTTATTATTTCCATTCTTTTTGTTGATTACATTACAAAATTTTACTTACGAAAAAAAAAATATATATATATATATATATGGGTGACAGTTACTACTTACAATCAGGCGACGCCTCAACCTGTTTACCATTCAAATTACATAATAAAGAATTCTTGATAGGTAAATATTTATTATTATCTAATATTTATGAATAGGTAAAATGTAATTATTCACAGGGCAATTCAACTGAGTGTCATGTCTACTAGGACATGTCATTTGCTAAAGCGTCGGTCAGCAAAATCTTCAAATTCTGGGTATGCATCGCCATAACCGACAGGAAACATGGCGGCGCATTCTTCTTCACCGAAGGTGTGGTCTCGGCTGACATGTATGGGGTTCAAATCCATTAGCTCCAATAATGCTATATCGACTTCAATAGATAGCATGAAAGCGAGTTTTATGTCATCACTGAAATAAAGTTAATGTCAAGTAAATGTATTATTATTTCATTTATATATTATTTTCGAGTATGCAAGTATAATACAACCACCTGCTGTGCGCGCGTTTTCACCGGGATTATAGCTTATGTGGTATAAGCTATATTACTATAAATTTTGATCAAAATCCGTTCAGTAATTTTTGTGTGAAACAGTAACAATCATCCATTCATCCATCTATCCATCCATACACATAAATATTATCGTTTATAATATTAGTAAGATTTACATTGTTTCAGCACATATAAAATAAGAACTAGAAAACGTGTTTTTTTAATATAATTTTTGTATAGAGAAAAGTATATTTTGTAATTTACCATTGATGATTCATTTTTAAATTAGCAATTTTTTTTACGTAAACGAAACCGTAAAAATTCTGATCGATAATTCTTCTTCGAAATTTCATATTTGTTATAGAAGGAATTTATGGTATAAAATATAAAAATGCCATAAGTGCCATTTAGTTGTTTGCCAATACAACTGGATAAAACAAAACATTGACTTATTATTCTAGCACAGCCAACTGCTTAAAGGACTGGTCTGCTCTAATCACTACGACAGATTTTATCTTATTTAGTTGCTCAACCAGTTGGTTGTATATTTAATATTTTTTCTATTTGAGTATTTAATTGAATTAGTACTAATTGGTAGTTTGTTGACGACAAACTACCAATTAGCACTAATTTAAACACACTTTAACTTAAAAATGTAAAGTAACAATAAAATTATTTAAAAGAGCAACACGCAAGTTTCTATCTTATCCTTCTTGTGATGAGACAGCTTTCCGAAAGAGTAGATTAAAAAAAATATTATGACTATTCAACAAAGATTCGGTAAGTTTATTTGAATAAATGATTTTCTATTCTATTCTATTCCAAAATAGCAGGCACTCAATAAAACGAATAAAACTTATTACGTTTATTTTTTAATATGTATATACTGCCAACTACAGAAGGCTGTAATCGTAAATACATAGTCAGAACATTTCTTCAAACAGATTAGGTCGATAGCATGTATATTCACGTAAAAATATACTACCATTATTATGTACTTGTCGTAGGCCCGTACATACCAAAATTACCGACGAAAGCGGAGAAGAAAAATAATAAAAAACAATAATAATAATAATGCGACAATACCCAACCCTGTACAGGGTTATTATTATTATTTACACTATTACATTATACAACCCCCTGTACCCTGACAATTAACAAAGCACCACATCCTAGTCGCACGGTTAGCAAAGCTTATGTTGTGGGTGATATACTTTTTTGTAAATTGATACATAATATACATAGAAAACACCCAGATCGATACAAAGAATCATAGAAGATAGATGAATACGAATGTTTGCACGAGGAATCGAACCCACGACTATCGGTAGGAAAGCGGTATGCTAAACAGCTAGACCACCGAGGCCATACCACACATGCAAAGTTATTCATCAAATTTAAGAAATTATTACTGACCTGTACTGCTTTTTCGTAAGCGAATCATATTGCCGAACAGAGAATGCTATGTGAACTGAGTTTTGAGGTAACTTTGCAATAAAAATACCCACCTATATAAAAATAGAAATCATATTTATTTAATAAACTTCTTTTTAAGGAATATACTGTTAGGGTTCACATCGAAATTGTCGAAAAATGTGATATTTAATATTAAAAGAAAGTAGTTTCATTACTCGGTATCGTTAAACTAGTTGCATATAACCCCCACTCATATCTTCTCTGCATAAAAGGGAGGGTTTTGCCCCTCCGATGGATCCCCCGTCCAATTCAAACGGGGATCGAAATTACGACGGCCTTAGCCGAGGTTCGAACCCCTAGTGGTGCCCTCAGACTAAAGTCGTATCCGTCAGGCAGGAGTTGGCCTTCAGCCGCTCCATAAGTCCTTCCGCGGGTTTGGAGTGCCATCTGCACTCACCCCCTAACGTCCGGTGAAGCTGTAAAGGCCAGCTACGGCCAACAGCATTAGAGTAGTCCGAAAAAAAAGGCACTGCATTCGGTCTTTGAGCACAGGATGTGCTGGTTGTATTTTAAATGCTAAAGTGAATTGTGTTAGAAACATAGTTAAATTAATGTTATATAATTGTTATTTTATTATAATATATACTTTTACTAGTACATAGAGTTGATATATCTTACAATACAATGGTTATATTCTGATTCTATAGTAACATTCACAATATATTGACGGCCTCGCTGGTCACACCGCTTTACTTTCGATGGTAGCGGGTTTGATTCCTCGCACGTTGCAACATTTGTATTCATGTGTATGATTGTTTGTTTGTATCTGTCAGGGTGTTTTCTATGTATATTTATGTATGTATTTACAAAAAAAATCTAAATATTTGTATTAGTCGTCTAGTTACTTATAAAACAAGCTCTGCTTAGCTGGGACTAGATGGCGCTGTGTTAATTGTTCGGGACATTTTATTACAATATATTATATTATATTATATTATATTATATTATATTATATTATATTATATTATATTATATTATATTATATTATATTATATTATATTATATTATATTATATTATATTATATTATATTATATTATATTATATTATATTATATTATATTATATTATATTATATTATATTATATTATATTATATTATATTATATTATATTATATTATATTATATTATATATTATAATATATTATATAATAGTTATTAGCTGGTATCCAGTAAATACACACTCATAGATGAGTGTAATAACAAATTAGTGCTTCATAAAATTCTTAGACAGCAATTTTTTAAATAGTTATGATAATTTATATTCCTAATTTGCTGCATAAGCCAAACACGGGGAGTCCCCCATAGTGGACTTTGCACTTCTGATATCGCATGCAGGTGTAGGATGGGCTCGCTTACACAATATGACACTGCTCTACATCTATAATAAACTTTATTCGATTACTAATGTAAAGTGGTATGGCTTCGCGCGAGTGCGATTTTTTAAATATCTCCCTTATTAGAATCACAGACGACTATTCTGATGGTAAGCGGTTCTTTGCATTCCATGTTATCTGTGCATTTTCCTACATATATAAATATAATATTTCCATAGTATAAAACAAAGTCACCGCCGCTGTCTATTCGTTTATATCTTTTAAACTAGCTACTCACCCCGGCTTCGCACGGATGTACATGTATTATATATATCTAGACACGCGGCAGCGTGTCAAGCCGAGTTTCAAGTAAACTGGCTTGCAGCACCGTGTGTATATTTACACGAACCATTTGGAGCCACTTTTGACCCCCTCATAACTCAAAAACTCTTTCACACAAACCTGTCAAATTTGGTTCATATATTGAGACTTGCGAGATAAATATGTGTTCCAAATTTCATAAACATATCTCAAACGGTTATTTAGATATTAATGTCCAAAAATCGTCATTTTTATCACTGATCAACTATAGATCAAAATTATAACCCACTTCCAGATGACCTAGGAAGTTCAAATTTGGTATGCAGATAGGTAATTAGGTGAATATAAAGGAAAAAATCTGAAACTGGTAAATTGTTATCATTTTACTACAATTTTTCACTTTAATTGATTATATTTCAACTTATACTGGACGAATACTAAAATTCTATGAAAACGTCGATAGCCACCAATTGACATTGATCCCTGGCGAAAAATTTCATCTTGTACTGGACCGAAAGTAATATTGTATGAAAACGTCGATCATTACCAATTTACGTTGACCCCTTCACATCAGTGTCGATAACTAGCAAACTTCAAATATTGCATTGAGCGGTAAACACTAGTTGCTATAATTTAGATTCTGTCTAAAATATACTCGTACTTATAACTAGGAGTATAGTCGAATTTCGTATTTATTATGTTATTAACTAAGATTTGGTATTAATTATTGTTTCAATATTTAGCGCACATCGATAGTGTAAAATCATTATTTTTATAAATAATTATTAAATAATAGGCATTTCGGTATAGAGCGCCGCGGTAGCGCCGTGTGGGAGCGGTGCGATAAAACTCAATGTTTTGTTTCTGGATATCTAACCTATAAGGTTGCGATTTATGCTACGAAATTTATAGCTTTCTTAAATTATACTTATATATTTGTGATTATATTATTATTACATTATTTTAGTAAATACGTATGGTATAGACAATAGTTTAAACCAAAAATTAATAACAATTTTAGTATAGTTATAAGTAGGAAGTTGTTAGAAGTTAACTCGAGAATGAGAACTTATTGGTAACAAATTGTTTTCTTGAGAATTCAATAGATAACAGTCAATTTGTTACATAATCGTCTTTACGAACTATAACGTGTCAATACGAAGTTTCAGATATTAAATAATGTATATGTTGATAGAGAACAATTCCGTATTTGCTTAACATATGCTATTACTATCCACAAATCACAAGGCCTTAGTTTTGGCAGTCCTCTTCTCAACATAGCCTCCTCTATATTTAATAAAGGGCAGGTTTACGTTGGACTCTTCAGAGTTAAAACCTTAGATGGAGTACGTCTTAACAATTTTGATCCAAGTCACGAGAGCTCTATTGTAGAGTACAACCATCTGTGGACCGTGTTATACCGCCCCGATTTGCCCAAAAATTCCTGATACTGAATTGGCATTGCACTTGAACATTTAAAAGTTACAAGAAAATATAGAAAATAACACAAAAAAAAGACAATTATACCCCGTAAATATACGAAAATACAGTAATTTATCAAAAATAATTTGGTATTAATTTAGTTATAAATAAGTACCTCGTATAATTTATGTACAAAAAGTAATGATATCCCATCAAAAATATAAATGTGAAATGATAGCCGAGTTTAATATTATGATATATGGCTTGATTGTTGACTTCTACGACAAAAGAGATGAGATCTAAATGGGTGCCAAGTTCAATGGTCTGTCCTGAAATGTATTTATAACAATATAAAATATCATTTCTTCTTATAACTTAGGATAATATACTGTAGCCTAAGGTCTAACTTGGCTAGTTTTCATATACGAAATATACTGTAGCCTTCGCAAGTTCTAAACATGTTACTTGTCGGTTCCTATTTTAATATTAATCGTAACTAGCAATCGAAAGTAATAATTGGTATATGAGAACTGGCCAAGTTAGACCTTAGGCTACAGTATATTATCGTAAGTTATAAGAAGAAATGATATTTTATATTGTTATAAATACATTTCAGGACAGACCATTGAACTTGGCACCCATTTAGATCTCATCTCTTTTGTCGTAGAAGTCAACAATCAAGCCATATATCATAATATTAAACTCGGCTATCATTTCACATTTATGTTTTTGATGGATAAACCTTCCTCTTGAATCACTCTATCTATTAAAAACCGCTTCAAAATACGTTGCGTAGTTTTAAAGATTTAAGCATACATAGGGACGGGCAGACAGCGACAGCGACTTTGTTTTATACTATGTAATGATTATGCAATGGACTTTAATGCAATTTTCAGCAATAGATAGAGTGATTCAAGAGGAAGGATTATATGTATAAACATGCGTGTTATAGTATAGAACAAGTCGAGAAATTCACTGACATTTAATGCATCCGTGCAAAGCCGCACACAACAGATTTTAATGCAATTTTGAGCAATAGATAGAGTGATTCCTGAGGAAGGATTATATCTCTAATATCTACAGAATAAACCGAGAAATACAAAGATTTGTAATATATCCATACGAAGCTGGGATAGGTCGCTAGTATAATATATAATCAAATCATATTATTTTTTTTTCCAATTAATACAGCACCATCTAGTCCCACGGTAAACAGAGCTTGTGTTATAGGTACTAGACAACTGATATAAAAACTTAGATATTTTTTTGTAAATACATACATAATATAAAGTAACACGCAGACCGATACTAACAATCATACCCATGAATACAAATGTTTGCACCGTGCGAGGAATTGAACCCGCGCCCATCGTAATTAAGCGGTGTGCTAAACCGTTAGACCTCCGATGCTGTCAAGTTACGGAATAAAATTTCATTCAGAATATATCCAATTGAATATAGATCACATAGCACTTACATGTAAGACCAATTGTCTATGTTTTCTGACAGCTTCAATTGCTTTGTACCGTTTGTTGATTTCCAGCATAACCAATACGTGTGGTGGCAGAAACTCGGACTGTGGGGTCACGCACTCGTATACCAGCTGTGGTAAACATTTTTATAAGGTACCCACTCAGACAACTTTTTACAAGCGCCCAATTTACTTATAACCAAAATGATAAATTGATCTCTTATAAATTTGGTGCTCTGCAATTATCATCATAATTATTATAGAAATAAATGAAACACCCTTATTTCTATGTATAAAGGTTTATGCCTTATATATATTCATAGGAGCCTTTAAATGTTGATAGGTAATTCCATTAGGTAACAATTTTTAGGACTTCTTACAAGGAACTGACTTGATTTTATATCAGATCTTATAATGTTTTGTAGCCGAAAAAGTGTTTTGTAAGAATTGATAATTTTGAATATATTATGTACTAGCTGTGCCCGCGGTTTCGGCGTGAAGTTTATCTGTATCACCTATATATGATTCTGATGTATAAGCTATATTAATGTAAAATTTCATCAAAATTCGTTCAATAGTTTTGGCGTAAAAGAGTAACAAACATTACTTACTCACGAACTTTCGCGTTTATAATATTAATAAGATGATGTTCTGGTGCTTCCACGAACGATGACGATAAAGGCTAGTGGAGCTAGTAGTACTAATAGCAATAGCACTAATAGTTTAAACCAATATTTTCTATGTATAAATTACTATGACTTCATTTTATCATCCTTCTGACTAAATACATACTCAATATACATCGTAAACACCCACATCAATACAAACAATTATACTCAAATAAAAAATAAAGATTATTTTAATTATGATAGAGCAACCATTATAAATAAGGCGATGCAAACGCACGATGAAATCTATTTGGTTTATCGCTTAGGCTCTCATTTATGATGAGCATAATATTGTGTTCATCGTAACAACTTGACACAATGCTTCTAACAATCTACAGATTTGCCAAGCTGAAGAGGAAACGCCACTACACATCCTATTTGGTCACTGCCCTGACGACATAAAAACTATTGCTCCTAAGTATAATATCCTTAAATTCTTGTCCCTGATGGGTCTAGGTATCGAACTTTGAAAAAGGGCAAAGACAATAGATCTATGCAGGTCACAGTGCTACAGATATTAACACCTGACAATAGCCCTAATAAAATGCCATCTTTGACTCAAATTGACTATCTCATTTGGTATTAAAGTCGTGACAATATTTGTTCAAGCATCAAAATAGAGTTGGACATAGACACATTGTTCTAGATTTACATTAATTTTCATAGAGTAGCTTTCAAAAATATCACACTGACATGCTCTTGGTCTAAGAGCTCGTGAACCATTGCGATAATGGTCTATCTGCAACGATAGAACTTATCTCAGTGATCTATCATAGATGTATATTATATATACGATTACACTTAGAGGGTTAAGGATTGACAGTAATAAGCACTAGCGGCCTCATCATAATGCAATATGCCGCGACCTCCAAACGGTCCCCCCTGGAAGGAATCTGGATTAAATCCGAAGGATGATAGGATAAGCCTAATCCTATCGTACTTCACTGGTACTCTGCCAGCTTATACCGTTAGCTCAGGCGGGTGTACTATTCCTTTAGAAAAATACCACCACCAATTGACCACCACATGGAAACCGTCTGCCATTTTTTTTCTAGTTATTTTATATTAATGATATTTTTTTATTATAATTATTTTTTAGTCGATACGTAATTTATCAATGTAATTAATAACTAGAAAAATTATTATACAATTATATATATGTCTATTACAATGTGGTAAAGAGCAGGCTAAGTAATATTACCAACAGGCATCACCTGTTGGTAATCTTACTTAGCCTGCTAAGATACGTCACTAAAATATTTTCTAGCCTTACAGAAATATGTGCGAGCTCTTAGACTATCTATTGAATCTATGCAAATTACAAAGCTAGCGGTTAGCCTTCATCTGCCAACTATAGCATGAGGTCATTCAGCTGTGTCTAACTGACATGCATTCTGAACAAAGAGAACGAACTGTATTCACATCGAAAAATGAACTTTATATTGAAAACTGTCACTTGGAGCCAATTCAGTTTAAACGATTTCAATTGACCAGATTTTGAATCCCATTGTATTCTGAACCGAACTGGACATCCGCTAGCCCTTATTGTATTCTTGGGTATACTCTTGTATTCTATTTGTCCCCATACAAAGAGGAATTCAAAATATACCGTGCGGTGGAGTGTGGAGGGGAGGATTTTAATAATATTTTTTCTTAATTTATGATATGTATGGTACACCTGCCTTGGCTAGCGGTATATGCTGGCGGTGCTCCAGTGGAGGATGATAAGATGAGCATAAGATCGGGCCAGTTAGCCCATCGTGATAAATTTACCAGGAACTTATCACGATTATTTTCAGGGGGGAACCAGGTGGAGGTCAACCTGGCATGGTATATTGCTAGCTACTATATCAGGTTCCCTCTGGAAATAATTATGATCATTTTGTGGTGAAATTGGGTGCTAATGGGCACGATGGGCTAACTGACCTGACCCCATGTTCATCTTATCATCCTCTACTGATGCCGCGCTAGCATATGCTGTTAGCGTAGGTCTATGGCGTTGGATAAGGGATGGCTTGAAGTTTTTAGTGAGTAAGAGTCTCACAGTATCTGAAGGTGAGTACACGTGGACATGTCAAGTGCTGCATATACCAGTTGACTACCTCATCTAAGAGAACAGTCGTAACGGTTTGCTTATTTTGTCTGTCATATATACCTTAGAGAACAATACACCAAGTCCATTGGTTTTAGCAATATCGTTGGGTGGAGCATAGAAGCCAGGCACTAGAAGTCCAGCCGGAGGGAAGTATTCATCTTCATCTTCTTCTTCAGCACTTTCATCCTCAACTACTTCCGATGTCTGCTTAAGTAAATATGTACTTACTATCTGTTTGTTTTTTTAGATAACAAATAGCCTATATCGTCCTCGCGATACATGCAAAATTTTATTAAGATCCCTTAAGTTGTCGGGATTAAGGATTGTCCCTTAAGTTGTTGTTGTCGGGTCCCTGTTTATTCGTGAAAGAGTAACAGACAGACAGACAACCGCTCACATTTGTATATATTTTATTATGTCATTGAAATGACAAACTAGGTGACGGCTCGCCTGATGGTAAGTGATAACCGTCGCCAAAATGTATATGTGAATAGCACTACCAACATCACTTTATCATTTAACAACCGTTATACCACTCATACGTTGTCATTCCAGAGAACTAAGATGTCATGCCTCTTATCTTATCCTGTAATTTATATTAGTACTTTACTAACAAAGTGAAATACTGTATATATAATATTTATCTGAATAATTCATTGTTAGAATATTTTAATCTGTATCGTAAAGTAACCTACTCTGTACAACTTTTATATGTTCTCTGTTTTTATATTATCTGTGATTTTTCACCATACACCATAACGACACATATTACTAGGTTGGGTAGTCAGAAGTAAGAACAATGGTGGACGTCCTGGTGAATACTAATATAACACTTGACATGCCCAAAGTTTGCTGAGCATATTTGAATCCTAGGTAAGTTCAAATTTGATATTAAGATGGACTGAATTACGAGGACATAGGCTATTATTATCTAATAAAATAAATTTGGAGGGGGTAAAATAGGGGATGAATGTTTATATAAATGTATACGTGTTTGGTAACTTTCATAATTAGTTCTCTCTAAAAGAAACAGATTTTAAAACAGACAAACAAATAAACTTTCACATTCATAATCATTAGGTAACGTTTGCGACTGCAATAATCATATCAACGACTATCAAGTTGCAAATCAAAGGAAATTCTTGGTAATGTAAATCTTTAACACTCGAGACTAGTGTATATTCGTATCAGAGATTAATATATGACTGGAATAGGCAATCTTATGTGGTAAACGTTACTGGGGGAGGGTTAGTAATGGGCACTGCTATCACTGTGTCATATGAACTGGACCGTCTCCCTAGAGACCATTACTCTGCTATTACGCTATACGATGATTTCGCTAACTTTGTATCATCCTCGTCTGATAATGCAAGCATATAAGATTAGACAAGGCGGGTGCACCGCGAGTAGGGCGAAATAGGTCGACCTAACAACGAAATGGGGCTTGCCCTACACCATCTACAAGGGCAACAAGCAAGTTTCTTGTTCTACCCTCAAAGGGATAAAATAGGGGATGAAAGTTTATATGAAACCCACCAGATTGTAAGGAGCAACTCTAAAAAACAAATAAAAGAGCAGTACCTAGCATAGATACTTTTAACAACAAATTTTATTTATTATAAAAATATTGGTACCTTTAAAATTTCAATAGACACAACTTCATTATCAGATTCTTCTTGCATATCTTCAAGAGCATTGACATTCTGAAATGTTCTGTTATCATATATAATTGATCGTTTGTATTATAAAGATTAGAATTATCTGAAATTTATCGACTTTTATCTTGAAATTACTTATTTTGGATGAACAATGTCCCAAAATTGTTTTCACAGTAGACCGGTCAATTACTTTTATTATATTCTTTCTGTTGCAATAAGGACGAATACAAAATATTCACAGTTAATTAATATTTCAATATAAATATGTACCAGCATCTTAGTTTGTTATAACTTCAGTTATTGAGCCAATAACAATGATAAATACACGTTATCTTATCACTAGTGGCAGATCAGGAGGAAGGGTTTGTTAGTAATGGGTCTAGTGTCCCCATTGCCAGCAATGTTCTTGTTAGGTCGACCTTCACACGGGTCTCCCTGGACACTATCGTAATTAATTTCTAGTTATTTAATCACGATGGGCAAACTGACCTGACCTCATGTTCATCTCATTACCAGCCATGCCAGCGTAAATCGTTAGCGCAGGCAGGTGCACCATTCCATGATCATCCATAAAAAAAATGTGGCATATCAGGCAAATAAGCATAACCCCGAGCTTGAATAAAATCTAAAATTAATTAACATATTATTATATTTCATCATAAAAAGTGCCATTAACGAAGTTTAGAAACTACAACTTAAATATTTTGTAAATGAAAGGAGGGACCCGAAGATGCATTTGTCAAGTGTCTCATATTGCATTTGTCAAGTGTCACCACTGACTAAGTACATGAGTACAATTATTGTAAAGTAAGGGATGAGAGAGAGAGAGATTATGATTATAATTCTATTTTGACATTAACTGAATTCTATCATCTCTAAGGATCACAAACAGTAGAGAAATATAAGCAGAATACTCAAAAAATTAAATGACATTTATCATTATAATTAATAATGAATAATAAATCATAAAATAATATAATTAATATTATTTTATGATTTAAAAAGATATTAATTTTGATAATATCTTTTTAAATCATAGTCTATGTATTATTCTGCTATATCACTATAAAGTTTCATCAAAATCTGTTCAGTAGTTTTTGTGTGAAAAAGTAACATCTCACAAACTTTCGCGTTTATAATATTAGTAAGATTAGAAGTTACGTAAATATATATATATATATATATATACTGTTTTAATTGTTCTGTGATAAGTATAGTATTACCTTCAATATGGCAAAATGTAATTGTTTTTTTTCAGCACTGACACAGAAAAAACCAGGAATTCATTACAAAAAGACACAGAACATCATCATAATCATCATCATCATCATCATCATCATCATCATCACCATTAGCCTACTGCAGTCCACTGGACATAGGCCTCTACAAGAGCTATGTCGGTGACCTTAGTTCTCTGGCGAATTACTTCGTTTCGGATTTTATCCCTCAGAGAAACTCCAAGCAAAGCTCTTTCCATAGCTCGTTGAGCGACTTTGAGTTGGTGGACCAGTCGTATTGTCAGTCCAACTGACTTAACTTACTTTCATTTCGTAAGAGAAATTTAAGGAATTGAACATAAGAACAATATGCGACCACTAACTAGAGACTTCAGAAGATTTATTCTCCGTTGTTCTTTTTCCACTTTCTTAGCTTCAATCTCTTCTTGTTTAGCTTGTCGTCCTAAACGTTGTAACTCTGATATATGTCTTTCCTGTTTTTCTTTAGCTTCCTCCTATGTATAATTAAATATGAAATATAATAATAATAATACCTCAGGACAATTCACGCAGCGCTAGCTAGTCCCAAGCTAAGCAGAGCTTGTGTTATGGGTACTAGACTATATATATATATATATATGATACTCTTAGCCTTATTTAGAATTTTAATATGACTACAAATTAATTAATTGATAGATCATAAAATCCTACCTTTTGTTTTATTCTCTTTTCGCGTCTTTTTTGCCAAATCTCTTCTCTTGTTAGACTATAAGACTTATAACGATCAAATGCGGTGCCATGATACGGAACCCGCTCATTTTCAGGATCAATAATGTCTTCATACAGAATTTTACGTACAGTGGCTACAAATCAAACATATATAAACGTATATGTAATAATAAAAACAGCGTTATGAGACAATTTCTTAAAAAAACATATTAAAAACATAATGAAAATATATGTGAAACTTGATTGTCTTTTAATTATATATGTATTTGTATAAAATATTAGCAATTTACAAAAAAATAAAACCATATATGAAGAAAACAATAAGAAGAAGAAAAGCAAAGCTCCAGAAAAAATAGTGTATATAACATTGTGACCTGCTATTGCCAATTCTATTTTATCTTACTACTAAAGTCATAAACAGTTTTGTTAGGCGACGATTGTTAAATCAATTGCAATTGATATTCTATAATAATAACAATACAAAGAAATGTAATTGTCTGACAGCTCTGTAAGCCAATAATTTGAAATATACATTGATTATGACAAATTAAATTTATAAAGTACTCTCTAATAGACTATTTTTAATATGTAGATATAGATATAACAATATTAAAAAATTTAACTCTGGTAGGTGTAAAATAAAGGATGAAAGTTTGTTTTCTGTAAATTGACCGTTCCTGTACCTATATCTACTCGGGAAACTTCTTTATCTTGGGATCATCCGTTGGGAATAGAAAAGGTTTGATCAGCATAGTTTTTAAGTCACACACTGTACTATTTTAAGTTACATTATTGGCGATTCTCAAGGGTTTCTATAAAACTGGCGGCCTCTAAATTGTTTGGCAAAATTTAAACAATTTAACTATACATATTTATTTCTTTTTTGTTTTTTAATAACCATTAAAAATACATTTTATAGAGTCAAATTAGATAATAATATCAGTTTAAAATTCGTAATTATGAATCATTGACTGTCTGACGCACTCAACGCATCGCTCCGCGGTCTGCGGGGTGGTGCTGCGCATCGACAACTGCAGCCAGTGACGGATACCGGCACTTCTGGTTCGACCGGCACCGACACTTACCGGCTTACTAAATCATGCTACCATTCGAAGTTTAATGTGCATCTGTCATTATTCATAACAGTTTTTATATTATATCTATTAACACAGTCCACTAGTTTCTGGCTATCCAGGACTTAACACTGACCATTGTTAAAGTACATTTATAATTTTATAAAACCTTTTTTAATAGTTATCTGAAAACTATATTAGAAAATAAGACAAATACAAATGTTGGTTAGGTAATGAATTTACCACTAAAATAGATGAATGTGTTATTTTTATGATGCAGAAGTTTCCAGAAACTGACGGTATGAAGATAAAGATTAATTATGAAGAATTAAAAATACAGTAACCTACAAAATCTCGTTCAGAATCAAGCGAACGAAAGCAAATAGCAAGAGATGACCCGGACAAGAGTTGATGTATTGAAGCTTCGTTTGTAGGAGCATCTCCAGCATATAGTATATCCATTGCTTGTTCTTTTGTTAATTTCATTTCTTCACGGCCAACCATTACAATATCTGGAAAAATAATGTTTATAAAGTTTAAATTGCCCCTCATAAAGATTTCATTTGATCATTTATAAACTTAGTGTAGTAACTTTAATACTAATTCTTCAGTTGAATATATGTACACGAACAACTCCAAGGATACCACGTACAGTACTCAAACGTTGCCATCCAGGAGAACTACAACGTAATATTGGATAGTTTCAGAAATGATACCTCTATGCTCTACTTGATTTTTATTTTGCTTTTAAAATACACTTCAAAAAATTGGGCCACTATATTCTATGTCTGGTCGTCTCAGTTGCCTCGAACAGAAAGAAGGCCTCTGCCTTTTTTTTACAGACTACTCTAATGCTGTTGGGCCCAGCTACTGCTGCTGCAGCAGTTTCAGCGGACTATAGACGGCGAGTGCAGATAGCACTCTAAACCCGCGGAAGAACTTATAGAGCGGCTGAAGGCCAACTCTCACCTAATGGATACGACTTTAGTCTATGAGCACCTCTAGGAATTCGAACCTCGGCTCAGGCCGTCGTAATTTCGATTTCCATTTGAATTGGAAGGGGGATCGATCAGAGGAGGCCAATATTCTGGAGAATTCACTCATTATTAAGCGCTTTAAAACTGTAGTTTGAATTGAATCTTAACTGTTTTCATTCCATTTCTCGTATAACTCTGGATGAGCATGCGTAGCATGTGGCCAAAACAGCACGAAATTCAAATGCTTCAGGTGTGGCACCATTAATTCAGCTCGGTGTTGCTTGCGAGCAGCTTGACGAGCCGCTCGTCGTGTCATTAGTGATATTTCCTCTTGTTCCTTCTCGACTGTCCTTTTGTTGATCCAATCCTGTTTATATTATTGATACTCTTTGTATTTTAATAATTATAACAATAAGCACACACAATTCATATGGCACCAATAGCTCTGTTATCCACAGAAATTATACGAAAAACTCATAGGAAACCCCTAGATATGTTGGAAATCTCCTATAGAACTGTTAGAAAATGTCGTCATTTTTAACACACGCCGTTGACTGCCTTTACACTGAACTTGAATCTAAGTTACGTGGAGATGCGAACAAATGGAAGGTTGGCGAATATTACAACTGTTTAAAGAGATACCAAAAAATAATACGCGCCATTTCATCCGGCGTTGCTTCGTCTAGTTCATAAAATGGACGATCAGAATTAATGCCTTCATGCTTTAAATTGAAATAGTACAATTCGCTCTTGACGACTTCAGCAAATTTTATGCTATCAACACCTCGAAAGACTTTCGTTGTTTTCATTTTCTGAAATATTTTTTTTATAAAATATTCTATTGTAATTAAAAAGATAGAAACTTGAAATTATGTTCAAGTTTCTATCTTTTTAATTACAATATATCAGAACAATTCTACAGCGTCATCTAGTCTCAAGCTAAGTTAGTAAGATAGATAAATAAGTAGCACAATTGAGCTATATTATGGATACTAAACAACTAATACAAATACGTAGATATATATTTTTATACATACGTGTTATACTGATACAAACAATTATACTCATAAATACCACTGTTAGTATCATGCAAGGAATTGAACCCGCGATCATTGGCAGTAATTAAACCGCTAGACCAACGAGACGGTCTATGTCTATGTAAATATTTCACTGATTTTAATTTTAAATAAATAAATATGTTTAGCAGGTTTATTATTCTAACTAAAATTATGAATGCGAAAGTGAGTTCGTTTGCTTGTTTATTATTACTCTTGCAAGCCTTAACTACTCAATCGATAATGATAAAATTTTTCAAACAATAGTTATTTCAGATGAAAATGGACATACCTACTAGTCTTAAATATACCTACTAGACTAGATTTAAATTATTACAGTTTAACTTTTCCTTGCAGTTTGTAAAATAATTGTAATAACTGATCATCATCATCATCATTTCAGCCCAGAAGACGTCCACTGCTGAACAAAGGCCTTCCCCAAAAATCTCCACGACAATCGGTCCTGCGCTGCTCGCATCCAACGCTTTCCATTTCACTTTATTTAACTAACGCGCTAAAATTCTATATTATTTTTAAATTTAATTTACTTACAACTATAAACATATATACCGGTTCACTCTGATTACGGAATCTTTTTAAAACGTCTATTGCATCTGAAAGAACCTGAAAAACAAAGTAGAATAAGAAATAAGTATAAACTTGGGTATATTCATACCACGAACATAGTAATAGATATCGTAGAGCTGCAGACAAGCACTCATTTACAACTCGAGAGCCACAACAGCGTATGTTTAAAAAGTTTAATAGAGGAATATTTCTCCTGAACTTGTAATTGTATTCACATTCGTTTTACATGCTATTACTTACACAAAAATATAAATAAATAAGTAAATTAATTAATTACTAAGGTAGAGGTTTAATATTTTTTACATATTAGAACTAACAATATCAGAACTTCAGGCTTATCTGTAACTTAACGCTGAGTTGCCTGCCTATCAACCATTGCAGCTATTAAACCGTTAAGGCTATCCACATATCTTCTATTTGTATATTTATTTTTCTGTATCATTATTTTCTTATTCTACAATTGGTGAATAAATAATTTATTTATCAGTGTACCATGTCAGGTCATATTTGAAATTATTCGCTTCGTAACCAGTGTGGTTAGTTCCTGACCAATTTGTCACGATGGGCTGACTGACCTGACTCACCACTGTGAGTCTAATATCTACTGGTGCTTTCACCGCGTATTTCATTACCGAAAAAATCATTATCATGCTTTAAAAATGATGTTTTGTTCTGCAAAACATGTAAAATCACACTAGGGAAACTGGGTCGCATAAGGAACGTATGTATAAAAATGTATGTAAACCCAAATTGTTATTAAGGTAGCTGCAACACTTTATTCAATAAGTTATACCTTAAGGAGGATCATCTTTCCGTCACTCCAATCTAGTTTGATCTTAGTAAACAGTCTGTCGAGGGCGGTACAGGAACCAAAATATGAGCTATAAATTTCCGCACCTGAAATAAATTATACGGAACAATGTTGCAAAAGTCGTACCTCCTGAGATATTAATTAACGTTTCCTATAATTCAAATAAATAGAATCTCTACTAAGGAACGATTAAATCACGTATGAAATAACAGAACTCATTTTTTTATCAAAAAAGTATTTTATCGTCAAGACTCCTTTGGTATAAATTAAAGACTTATCACTTTATTCTTAGCATCTAGACCTTAAACCGTAGATACTTAGAAGACTTTAGCGGGACCCTTTTTGTATTTTAATAAGGTTTTTGGGCTGTTGTCAAGTGCTAAGAACTGTAACACTGTCACCTGCATAGATCTGTTGTGGTTACCCTTTTTAAAGTTCACTATCTAGACTCGTCTGGGACAAGAATTGAAGGATATTCTTAGGAGCGATGGTTTTTATCTCCTCAGAATATAGTACATACTTTCCAAAGAAGATATTTTGCTAGTGGTTACTATTATCATCATTGCCGAGTTTCAAATCACGTATTAGAAACTATTACTTCTCTAAGTTATCGTCACAGTAAAATCATAATTGTATGTATTCTGTATATATAAGTATTTATGTACATGTGTATGTATATATTTTATAATTATATGTGTGTATTCAAAATATGTAATTTTTATATATGTATTTTAACATCAATTCTCACTATATTGTTTAGTATTATTACACCTCGACCAAACTCAAATCTAATTGCTCCTCTCCATCCTAAGGTTGCCTGGAATAAATCGCTTTTGAGCGATAAGGCCGCCCATTGTTGCCACCTTTCAGTATTGTATGTTTATACATATTCATATATTAACAATGTATATAAATGTTTGTTTATATTCTATGAAGAGAGCAATAAATATTTTTTCATTATTTTCATTCATTCATTCATTCATGTCATGCGAAACTTGCCACTTGCCATGACGCGAGGCATTAGCTGTTTGCAATGCAATCATTATATTACAATACCTGACTCAAAAGAACTATGAACCCCTTTTTACGAATATGCGCGGACGGAGCAATATGAAATTTCCCATACTGTTTATATAGAGAAAGTGGAGTGTAACTATTTTTTTTAATTATGCATAAAAAGTACATTATATAAATAAAAAAGATATATTACACACACTACCTATCTATTTGACCCATACGCTTATATACTCTTATGTTTATTGTTAAAGTCTGTGGTCAAATTGAGAATACATGAATATTGTTTGTCTTTAATATTATTTGTACTATAGTCTTACATATTATGTTATCTGTGGTCTTACTGAATGATAAATTAATTATGGGTGACCATTAGTTCACATCAATAATAACAATCGATGTAGAGTAAATCTATATATATAAAAATGCATTGCTGTTCGTTAGTCTCGCTAAAACTCAAGAACAGTTGAACTGATTTGGCTCATTTTAGTCTTGAAATATTCGTGAAAGTCCAGGGAAGATTTAAACGTTAATAAAATATCAAGAAATTGCATGTAAAATAGTAAAAACAATAATTTTATTTCTCATACAAACTGCTGATACCTGTTAAACAGGGTGCGGTCAGAAATTTATTGCGTAACTAAACTTCAAAAAACCTTTGACATATTTAATTTTGAGGCGGAACGGAGATCACAGGGTCAGCTAGTCATCATCTGCTTCTTCCTTATCCCGTTTATTTGGGGTCGGCATAATATGTTTTTCGCTTCCATTCATTAGTATTATTATTATATTATTCTAGTATTACTATAATAATGTAAAGAAGTGCCAAAGTTAAATTTTAGTAACATTATTACTATCTTTTAATTGCCGCAACATACAACTCTATTTCAACCATCCGATATGCATTGAATCTGCATAAATGGACATACCTACGAACTCGGATGACATACATTGCATTCTAGTTATTAATAACATGTAAATATGTACTTTGCACTTCGAGCTTCGTAAAATAACAGATTTAATAGCTTAGTAAACCATTTTATCTAACTATAATATAATGTATTTAGTTATTATATTATCAAATATATTTCTTTATATGACGATCTCGGTGTTCTAGAGGTTTAACACACCGCTTTACTTCTAACGGTCGTAGGTTCGATTCCTCGCATGATACAAACATTTGTATTCATGAGTATGATTGTTGAGTGTTTTCTATGTATATTATGTATGTATTTACAAAAAAAATATATGTATATATATATATATTTGTAACAGTTTAACATAAGCTCTGCTTAGCTTGAGACCAGATGTGAATCCTGAGATATTATTTATTGATAGGCAGGCATAGATATATACATATATATATATGTTATCAATAACTCGTTTTTATAATATTAGAATTATTGCGGGCAGGTATTGTTAGTAACGGAGACTAGTGACTTCGTGATCGATATAAAATGGTGCAATACACCATGTCAGGGTGACCTCAACGCGGGCACCCCTGGAAACCATCGTAATTTATTTTGAATACATAACCTGAACGCTCATCCTAATATCCTCTACCCATCCAGTGGCCCGCTTGTATACTGTTTTTTTTATGGATAATAATAAAATAGTACACCCTCTACCCCACTGGTGGGGCACCAGTAGAGGATGATAAGATGGACATGAGGTCAAGTTAGTTAGCCCATCATGACAAATTCTTGGAGGAGCCGCATGGAGGTCACCCTGACATGGTACATTGCTAGCAATGGAATTTATTAGTCCACATTACTAATATTAAGAATCGCCATCCCTCTGCGTATACTGTTAGCACAGGCGCGTGCACCATTCCATTATCATCCATATAAAATAAGATATAGGTACTAACATATAAGATGGTCTTCGTGTAAATTAATTATTTCAATAAACTCCCTTTCATTGTTTATTTCTGTAAATAAATCCACTTTCCTTCGCGTCATTTTGTTTTAAAACTACTTAATTGTGTAATGACATATTTATGCAATATCAACTTGGTCATGATACTGACAATCTAGGTATCTACATACTACCTGATCTTATGTCTACCTTACAATTATTAATGTAAACCTCGTTTATATCGGGACTTTCAGACGACTGTACATAGATATATTTCAGGATTATGTATACCTATATATAATGTACATAAGCCTTAAAGTCCCGAACTCGACAATTTTATTAGGACGTTTTTATACATTATACGTTTATACATATAAATATTAATACTACTACAGTTTTTTTGTATAACCGCAATGGCATAAGAGCTGACAACTCACCTGATAGTTTTTTTTACAATGGATGAGAATGGAATGGTGTAGCAGCTTGCGCTAATGGTATATCCTGGCGGGGCACCAGTGGAGGATAATAAATGTGAGTTCACTTCAGTGCCCATCGTGACAAATGCACGTGTAAAGCGCATGGTGTCAACCTGACATGGTACATTGCTAACAATGGGGTTGTTAATCCACATTATTAACAATCCCCTACTCCTATCACCTGATGGTAAGTGCCATATAAGTATAGCATCACATATAATCTTGTGAGAACCATGATACCACTCATTTGTCAACATTTTGGAGGACTAAAGTGGTAACATGCCTCCATACTCTATAATTTCACTGCCATATCTCACCCTTCAACGTTGTTCAAGTTGCTTAGGTACATAGCAAGTTACTTGGACTGAAATAGATAGGTATAGAATATAGATGCAGACAATTTTGTACAAAGTCTACCTCGGTTATATTAGGTTATTCGGAAAGTAATTTCGTTTTTTCCTTACTGAGGATTTAATTGTTTTTTTTGCACTCAACTTCACACTTAAGCCGTATAATTTTTATATGCTTTGAGAGCTCATATAGCAAGGCTTATGTGTGAAAAATTACAATTAATTCTACGGAGTAGTTTTTGGTTGGTGTCCTTTTAAATATGGAGAGCCATTATAGCAGCATTTTCGACATATCTTATAATAACATCCCAGGCCGTTCAAGTGGTCATAAAGGCTTAAGTGTGAACTTGAGTGCAAAAATACAATTAAAGCTTCAGACAGGAAAAAACGAAATTACTTTCCGAACAACCTAATACATTCAATATTTACGATATATCACTCTGCTCTTATTCCATGATTAATATAAAGCCAATTACTTTATGCTAGTGTTGAAATTATTATTCTCCTTTCGACACCGAATTATCAGCTGTTATTCGGTTAATCGATTAAATATCGATTACAAAAAAATATTTTAGCATGGCAACACCTACAGGCAGCCATATTGAAAATTTTAGTGATTTGTAAAGTTATCCCCTGCGATGGAGTCATATTTTTGCTTATCAAATTTTGATCATATTTTCGTTGGTAATCCGTTAAAATTATGTCAATTGCCTATCGTTTCTCAATTCGGTCGTGGTCATTGCAGAAAAGCGCCGGTCGTTTGACAAAATTCGTTTGAAAATATTGTTTTTGTGTCCGCCGTCGACCCTGGAGACATCTTGTGATTAAAAAGCACCGTTTCGACAAGATTGTTCACTTTCTGGTTTTGTCATTGTGCGAAACAGTAACAAAATTAGTATTGGTGCTAAGTAAGACCCGCAAACATGGATGTGTCGTGGGGTAGGTGTCTGTTATTGCGTATAAAATATTGATTGCAAGTTTGGTGTCACAGTGATGTCATTTTGTGGTATTTTTCAGACGCAGACAATTTTGAGCCTAAGCTCCCGACCACGTTGACATCGTCGGATAAATGGGAGGGCGAAGACGAGGAAGACAACGTCAAGGTAACAGAGTGTGCCAAATTCTTTGAACAGTGTTATTTATATATTATTTTCGTACATACGTAGCTATAGTTTTTCTTGAATTTTCTTTAGTCACATAACCTCAAAGTGCTTACGTGTTGACGTCACTCTTCAATTTCAGGAAAGTTGGGAAGATGAGGAAGAGGAAAAGAAAGATGAGGAGAAAAAAGATCTTCCCCCAGCTCCCCCAAAACCGAAAAAGAAAATACAGGATAAAATAGCTGAAAAAGAGGTATGTACTAGAAAATACCAAACATATTGTTTGTCTTTTATACTTAATTTCTAAGCTGTGGAACTTTCTAAAGTAGGCTCTAGTCAAGGCCAACATGGTCTAAGACCATGTTAGATACATAAACTTTGATAGACCATTTTATTAATTGATTACTTAACAACATACCATTATACCATTATGGAAAATATACTTAAAATTAATTAACTTCTTATAGAAGTTTATGCAAACTATTTTCAATATTTAAAAATAATTCAGGATATATCAATAATTTAGTAAAAAATTAACATATTTTAATTAACAATAAATTAAGGTTTTGTAATGACTATATGTTAATAATTAATATAAAATATTGTCTATAGTAATCTTTTTGCTACCTATTGTTTTAAGCTCTATATTTTTATTATTAAAATTCATGATTTGAACACAGAGCCCTCTTATATAATGGTATAATAGATTATACCTTTTGTGACATAATAAATTTAAAAAAATCTGTAATTGTGTCCACCAAAGTGAGAAATTATGTGTAGTCATATTACCCGTGTTATTTAAAGAGACTTGATTCAGATAGATATCAGTTACGATAGACATTGATTTAAAATATGCTCTACTATACTATATGTTTAAATAACTTAGATACATTATATTAACTTCAATTCAGTGATTACAAAATGTATTTGAAGATATAATAACCAAAGAAAGATTTCTTTATAGTTTCTACATAAATCTCTGTTGCAAAACAGCTTTCCATTAATTCTGATTCTAATTGCAAACACTCTGTCACACTTCCATCAGAATACAAAGGTGGAGTTTGCAACCTGCATAGATCTATTGTGCTCTATCTATCTGTCCCTATCCTCAACCATAGTGGCGAAGGTTGCTTGAACTCCAAAGCCATGTAATAAAAGAAACAATACTATGTCCACAGCGGCTGGAACGTGAGAAATTAGAGAGACTTAATGTAGAGAAGCCCGAAGAGCTCACACCTGAAGAGAAGCAAGCCGAGAAACTACGTCAGCAGAAATTACAAGAGGAATCAGACCTTCGGCTAGCTATGGAGGCATTTGGTAATTTTACTATATTTTGGTTATGTTGTTTGCTTTATCGAGTGTCATAGAAAGTCATCGGTGTAAGTACCTCTGTCTCACTTTGTCAAACTGCTCAATTTATAAGCTGTGGTTTGTTGAATGGTGAGATATGGCAGTTTAATTACAAGATGTGGATGACAGACAGAGTTTATTAGGTAGTTAGTAGACAGGCATTAATATCGATACGATCCATACTACTGTATGTAGGAGATGGTATTTATAATTAATGATAATGCACTATAATAACAGTAGACACTGACAGGTTCCAGTGGAAGAAAAGATGAGTGTGAAGTGAAGTCAGGTAGGAGGTAACCAATCATGGGAAATCACTAGGATTTTAGACTGCTTTCGATCTAGATGGTTTTGTGGGACAGTTCGTTTATTCACCATTAATTAGTAAACTTTATAGTTTACAGTATATTTTTTTGTGCACATAGCTATGTGCACAAAAATGTAGCTACATATTTGTATTGCAGTAGATAACTTTTTTGCATTCGATTTTTTTTTATTAAATGTTAACAGTTTATAATAATGTTGCATAAGCATGGGGCCTACTCCATCAAATTTATCTATATATTACTGACTTTTTCATAAAAACATATAATATTTCCACTTTATAAATATTCTGCCCCAGGTTTATATGTATCCTCCAAGAGGACACATATATGACATTCCTGTATTTTTTATGTTATGAATGTTAAAATAGGTATATAGGCCCCACCTATCTATATACTAGTGACTTCGTAATGCCTTATTATAAAATGCACAATGACATTATGCACACTGGCGTATATGTGAATTTAAACAAAGTGAAATTGTAATTTATCTACCCTTACTTCATATGTATCCTCTTCAGTAACACTAATGTGTTTTGTTCGTTTAGTTATTTTGTTCCCTAATCATGTGATCTGTACACCTCCATTTTATGGTTTTGCCAATGGTTTTAAATGCTATAACTTTAAATAGATACATTAAATATTAGGTATATATGTGCTATTAGTCATTCTGCACATCAGTCTCTGAGTCAGTAGCCTCTTCCAGCGTTTTCCATGTTTCTATCTTTTGCCAATTGGAGCCACAGTGGGTTGGTAATCTTCTAATCTCATCTGACTATCGTGTCGCTTCGTTTTATAGCAGTGAATCCACTCATTTATAGTTTTAGTTTACCTCATACTTCCCCTTAGCATATGACCAGTCCACTTCTTCAACTTTTTAATTTTTGTTGTTGTTAATTATATGTACATGTAAATGACATGTACATATAATTAAGTAATGATAATTAAATTTCTATTTAATGTTTAATTTGTATTTAATTTCTAGTTCTATTTACATTTAAACAATTAACTAATGATAACTGGTTACAGGCGTGACGGAAGGCAGTGCTGGCAAAATTGATAGCTTCCATCCAAATACAAAGGCGGAGTTCACTGAGTTTGCGGAAATGCTCAGCAAGAAGATAAATTTCTATAAAAACAAAGAGGAATTCCCGGCCTTTGCTGAAGATTTAGTGAGGAATATAATTGTTCAAAGTAAGTGCAATTTGCAGATTTTGCCAACTTGTTGAGGAAACGACAAAGCACACTACACAGTTTGTGGTTGTAGCCCACTCATACGTAAATGAAATATCTATCTCCTATATGAGAAGTATGCACTCTGTCCTGAGGAGATAAAAACCATTATTTCAATTCTTATCTTGAACAGACCTAGGCAGCAAACTCTGAAAAAAGGGTAATCACCATAGATCTTTGTATGTTGCAGTTCTAAAACACTCTAAACTGTGTTTTAAACAAAAAAATAAAATTGTTGTCTATTAAAATATTAAAACCCTATTTTATTTTCAATGCTGTTTATATATACTAAGATTAATTGAAGAGCCTTGTTTAAATTAAAACTAGAGAATATGTTAGTCTTTTTTAAATATGTAATATAAAATTAAGTTAGTTTGTATCTGTCTACTTATTATAAACAACTATCTACCCTCTCCAGCTTCGCAATGGTGTACATAGTACATATAAACCTTCCTCTTGAACCACTATATATTGCTAAAATCGGCAATAAAATCCGTTGAGTAGTCTTTTTAAAGTAGACAGATAGCGGAAGCGATTTCATTTTATACTATGTAAATATGCAATGATACATACAAATATATGTGTATCCAACATTGAAATGTCAGTGAAATTACAAGGTTGGAAGGCCAGACACTTTAGATCTTCAGATTGGCAATGTATGAGAATTATGACAGGCGTCAAATGATGACGTAATGCTTGTAGTGCTATTCCGGCAGCTTTGCCGTTCCAGATTTATAAATAGACACATATATTTGAGGCCTTATTACTATGGTAATAAGGCTTCGAATATAAAATTTTACTGCTTTAAGCTTTTACTGATTTATAAGTCCATTCTAAAACCTGTATATACGGCTTACAATTTTGGAGAAGTGCATCAAAGTCAAATGTTAACATCGTCCAGAGGGCCCAAAATATTATACTGAGGACAGTATCGGGTGTTGCTTGGTTCATCACCAACAACCAAATTGGTTCATTGCAAAGAACTTAGCGTGCTAACAATAAAGAAAGAGGTCCACAATTCCAAAACAAATTATAAAAAGCTCTTTTGTAACCACCCAAATCAACTGGCTGCTCAACTATTAGAAAAACACTACCCTAAGCAACTAAAAAGAAGCACATTATGTATTGTTTCGCAGTAGTCTTAAGGAGCAGATTCTCACACTGAAGTGAACACTAAATTCTCAGTTCTCATACAAAACATCTGCTCATAATTCCAGGACTGATTGCAGAGAGGAAAGGAAAAAATAAATAGAGGCCGTCACTCTATGCATATAAATAACATGATTTATTTTATTTGGAAATATGGCCTTGCTATTTAATACACTGAGGTAGACTTCAAAAAATTAATTGAGTGAGAGTACCTTCGTCTCAAGTCGCAACCAGCTTGTGTAAGCTGTTTTTCGGTTCAAGGGTCCAGATAAGTCAGTAAAATTACAGGATATGAGCCATAATGTAAATCTAGTACTCAGCTTAGCTTAGAACTAGATGGCGCTGTACGAATTGTTCAGAATAATTATTATTTATTTGACTTTTATTTTCGTTCACAGTGCATTCGGGCGATATAAAAAGGATAAAACTTTGCGTTGACAACCTTTATATTGAAAAACAAAAGGCTGAGAAGAATGAAAAGTCAAAGAAGCCTACAAAGGGCAAGGGGAAGGCAAAATTAAAAGTGGAAGGGGACAATGTAAGTTATATATTTTTGATATTGAAATTTTGTGTATAGTAAGGTTAGTGTTGCAAATAATCCTTCAACTTCAATGTTGATATCTCAAAATTATAAAGAATCAAAAGTCCTGAATACCAAGTTTAAGAAGGTATGGTATCCTCACGGGGCGCCAGAGGAGGATAGTAAGATGAACATGAGGTCAGGTCCGTTAACCCATTGTGACAAGTTCACTAGGAATTTATCATAATGATTTCCAGGAGGAACCACATGTAGGTCAACCTGACTGGAGGGTACATTGCTATAGCTAGGGGGTCAAGTGTTCATGTAGTAATATGGACTGTTTACCCCATAGCTAGTAATGGGATTGTATTGTAATAAATATATAGGCATTAGATTACCTTATCTTTTTTATCTTCAAATACGTGAAAATCTCAAGTATCATTAAATATAATGGATTATCTCATTGCCTATCATGCAAGGTTGAGTTTATGGTCATGATAATGTGTAGAGTAGGGAAAATATACTAAAAATACTCGACTTGCATAAGTGACTAAGTGAATGTAATTATAATTAAAGTATGTTTTTATCGAAGGGAGAGAACATTATTTGTAATGGGGACTAGTGACCCCATTGCTAGTTAGGTCGATCTCCATGCTATACCATGGATCCCCACGGAAACTATCATGCTTAATTCGGAATGAATTCATTCTCATCTTATTATCTCACTGGTCCACTGCCAGCGTTATATTGTTAACGCAGGTGGATGCACCATATCATTATCATCCAATAAAAAAATATATTTATCTATTTGTACATATTAGTTTATGTATTTTCTGTGAGGGGAACAATAAATAGTTTATTATTATTATTATTTTACTACCATATCTCACAAACCGATATATATACCTAATTATTATTTTCAGGCTCATCTGAACCAATATGACTCATATGGCAATTTCGACGACGACTACGACGATTTTATGTGAGCATCACACCACGTAGCTGCGCTCTAATCGCGAATGCGTAAAACGGAACATCACATAGTGTCAACTCTTTCTCACCGCTTCAATTTAGCATCGGTTAAAAAGGGATGCGAACACTCGATATTCCGTTTTACGTGTAAAATATTAAAGGTATGGTACCTGATTTCCGAACGAGCGAATTGTCTGAATTGCCTTCACAATATTAATATTTTATCCACATTAATACACATGTCTGTTATTTCCATTTAATGATACATAAAATGTATATTTAGATTTGCCATAGAAATGTAAGTACTTAAAGTGAAACTGAGGTATGTCACAAAATAAAATAGACTATACCAATACACAATCATTTTATGGATAAGCAATTGTGCTGTTATTAAATTATTTAGTTTTATTTGTGTATGTCCATTTAACGTCTCATGTTCGTACATCAGGTACTGTGAATTGCGTATAGCCTATTATACATATATACACAATGTAATATACAGTCGTTTCATTGTACGGTTATGGTCCGATGTTATGTTATTATAGATAATAAATTTTTTATTGTGATAATATTCTGTGAATTTTATTTTTATAACATGCCTTTTTTCTATCTGTATAATGCTGTTGGCCGCAGCTGAACTTAGACCGGATTAAATGCGATCCGTGTGCTGAGGGCTCGTCAAACTCTCTTATTTACGTCTCGAAGGACTTACGAAGCGTCTGAACTCCTGCTACTCCTGCCTGACTGATTTATGCGATCCTTCAGGACCGCATATGTTAGTCAGACAGGCTAAATGTGGTGAATATGACAACATAAGTTGTGTATAAATTCAAACCTAAGGACCTCTTCCTTAGGTTTGAATTCTTTTTTCATATTAATTTCGTTTTTTACTTGTTTTCTCATGGAAACTTGAAGAGTAAAAATCAACACAACAACGAAGAGTAAAATATTTGTGTTCTCTACAAATTCAGGTACAATTATAGTAATTTTATTTATTTCTCCACATAATCATTACTGTTTAACAAATACATTTAAAATCGTCATTAAACCCGTCCCGTCTACACACGGATACGGTACGTGTATTATACATATAAACCGTCCTCTTGAATGACTTTAATCTCTTAAATTAGTGACATAGTTTAAATATCTAAGCTAACAGACAGCGCAAGCGACTTCTTTTTATACTACGTAATCTACGTAACATGGCCATTTTAGTTGAAGGGATTGTTAGTAAAGTGGACTGATGACCCCATAGCTAGCAATGTACCAAATGAGGTGAGCTCCAAGCGATTCCACCTAAAAATTATCGAATTAAATTCCTAGCGAATTTGTCACGATAGGCTGACCTGACCTGACCACTGGATACCCGCCAGCGTAAACACCATTATTCCATTATGGTCCTTATTAAAAAATGGTGTTTAAAAAAACATGTCATTTTTATATATATATATATATCAATAGATTTTCATCTCAACGTAAGTTGTTTAAAACTAGGTAGTTATGTAAAAGATAGTTTTTTGAATAGGAAACAGAAGAATAATATTTTTAATAAAAAAAAAATCGAAAATTAATTTCGGCCATGTGTGGCATACGTGTTGAGTATCTATATTATGTGAAAGTTAAGATTTGTAAGGATTTATACGGAAATAATCGCCGTCGTATCGCACACAACGTCTTTGGGTGTTGCTATTGCATAAAATTTACGACTGTGATATACTAGTTCGTGGTTGAAAAACCTCAAGCAGGGGTTTAAGAGCACCACCGCCCTGGACAAAATAATGATCGCCAACCTCCCATATAAAATGGCACTTCAGAAGTGCTAACTTGTACCAGGCCTGCATAAACTACTTGAAGTTACATTAAAAATTTATTTGCAAGGGTTTAAAACCGACACTGTATCTACGTAAAATTGTACTGAACTACTAAAGCAAAATAAGAATAAGAACATATAGGTCAAGGAATTATTTCATAACACACTTAGGCAGCTCCTTGTACACAAAAGTTTCGTTAAAATCTGCAATCTCATATGTCATTTATCACATCCATCTTATAAACAATAGCAAATGGTGGAAGGCCAGACATAAGTAACCATTAAACGATCGAGATGATAAATGGGGTGACGGACCTCGCTACGATTTTGAAATTACTATTATTCAAGTGGTTACAATGAAATATGAATGATTGCAAAAAAGAATTACAGTTTATGAGAAATTCTGACATTTTTTAATACACTACGTTTATTTTTTATGTATGGTAAAGGTGACCCACCTGATGTAAATGGTAACTCTTACCTATGTAAGTATATGCACGAATAGCATTGTCAACATAACATCGTCACGTCGGCGTTGATTTCTTATTGTATTAATTTACTAATAAAGGCTATAATATATAAATAAAGAATAGCAGAGGGTGGACTCACTGCCCTCTCTGAGTTGTAGACTGCTTTGTCTCAATTATTACTTTTAACTTTGATTAAAAGCAGCAATTGTAATAGTTTATTATTTAAGACAAATAAAGATGATTATTATTATCGTGAAGCTCATGGATCGCAATATTATGTATAAGTACAATAAATATACATTAGGTATAAATATATAACACTACTAGCAGACCCGGCCACGCGTTGCTTTGGCTAAGGTTCTTAAATAAAATAATATCACGACTAATAGTTCACATCTCAATTTATAGTCGTTAAGATAGGATAGTTCCTATTTTTCAAGTTGGATCAAAATGCACACAATGTGCAAATCAAATTTGCAATCGGTTCAATAGTTTAGTAGTCCATCGCGGACAAACAACGTGATTTTTATATATAAAGATTTAATGAAGAACACTAACATGACGGCCTCGGTGCTCTATCTATTTTACTTCCTATGATCGCGGGTTCTATTCCTCGCACGGTGCAAATATTTGTATTCATGAGTATGATTGTTTGTATCGGTCTGGGTGTTTTCTATATATATTACGTATATATTTACAAAAAAATAAATCCACGTATTTATATCAGTTGTCTAGTACTCATAAACACAAGCTCTGCTTACTGTGAGGCTATATGGCGCTGTGTTAATTGTCCAGAGGGTTATTTATTTATTTATTCTAGTGAATACATGGTAAATAGATATAAAGTCTTGGGATTCGTCTGGTATTAGTTAAAATGTCATAATGTTCACATAAACCTACGCATCTGTGTCGAATAATTCTGCAGGTCACGTATGTACGATAATGAAACACATTTTATCACTTAAGCAAGAAGTCATTGACTGCCCACGTAGGTACCTATGTGAATACTTGAAAACTTGAAACTTATGAAATTAAACTGATTTGGGTATTCATTCGTTTGGACAGTGTGTCGGCACACATGTTTATTTTGTCATCGTTTATGTCACAAATTGTGACGAGAATGTCAAAGATTATTTTATTTATTTATTTGCTTCAGGCAACTTAATATTAGATTTAATATATGATAATTATTGTTATTTACATAAATTTTAATTACTTATTATTTTCCTTCATCATCATTATATGTTTGTTTCTTTTTAACGTTCTCCTGTTTGCATACCATACCTACCTGTTCGATATTTCAATCCGTTTTCCTAAGGTTGCCTTGAAAAAATTGTTTTCAGCAATAAGGCCGCCTTATTGTAACGATACATGTGTCCTTTAATACATTGTCAATGCATTTCCTTTACTGTATGTTACAAATGAAATATATTCTATCTACCTATATTAATTTTAGTTACATAACAATATTAACGTGCACGTGACACCCCTCATGTTTCAGCCGTCTATAGGCTAGGTACGGTAACCATTTACCATTAGATGGGCCGTATGCTTGTTTGCCACCTCCATAATATAAAAAAATTGGCCTATATTATATATACCTTACGGACTAACATATGTACAAAATAAAATATTAATATTGAATTTGTGGTCACCACACACATAAGCCACGGTAGCGCCGCTACACCACTCCCTCCGCCCAGTAGTCTTCCTTCATGAAGGTGGACAGAGTGTTGGTGGAGAAACGGGCTGTAAACTCTTTGAAGCTTGCGTTACTCCATATAATTTGCGTCACCTTCAGGTTAAGAATACTTTTAGTCCGGTTGTAATCTACAATGTCCTGTTCCCTGGTGGCGTAGTGTAGGAGTACTATGACGGAATGTGTTCTGAAAATATGCTGTACGTATCATAAACGTAGAAGTTTATGAATTTGGATGGAAGGGTGTTTGTTACACGCAAAATCTACTGAATGCATTTTAATGAAACTTTATAACAATGTAGCTTATACATCAGAATATCACCTAGGCTATAAATTTCAGGCGGGTGAAATGCGCGCGCGATGGATAATCAAATATGGCTATGTTTGATTGTTCATCGAGAGTACCGATGGTCATTTCTCGCACTGAATATTTATAGTCTTACATGATACTTAATGGTAGCGGAATTAAACAAAACAATATAAATCCATTGAGGAATATCTTAGGGAAAATGTTAGGATTCTTGATACGACACGATGAATGTATGAAAATTATTATTAAAGAAAAAATAGAAGGAAAGAGGTGGAGGGAAAGATCAAGGTACGACATCAAGCAAATTAAAGACAAAATTGAAGTCGTGTCGTATCAACATTTAAAGAGAGTGATGAAAGATCGCGGAAAGTGGCGAGAGATCTACGCACCATAGCATGTCTCTTAAACGAATTAGTTATGAATAAATTAATATATCTTACTTTGTCGACTCAATCCACTCTTAATATGTAACGTAATTTGTGAATGGCCTTATCTACAAGATTTGGCTACTTACTAGTTAATATATGCTTTTTTTCGGACTGCTCTAATGCTGTTAGCCGCAGCTCGCCTTTACAGCTTCACCGGACTATAGGGGGCGAGTGCAGATGGCACTCCAAAACCGCGGATGGGCTTATTAAGAGGCCAACTCCCGTCTGACGGATACGACTTTACTTGAGGGCACCAGTTGGCACTAGCGGTTCGAACCTCGGCTCTGGCCATCGTAATTTCGATCCCCGTTCGAATTGGACGGGGGATCGATAGGAGGGAAAACAAAGGCATGAATGCATTTATTTCGTAACAGTATAGGTAGCATTCGACCTCGGATGTAAAGGAAATGTAATAATAAAACGAAATAACAATTTCGTTGCGTTATATTGTTTTTGTTGCGTTAACACACTCCCACACCGTTTGTTGGCTATCAACATGGGAACTTTTTACTATCTTGATACACAATTACTTAAATAATTACTACAGGCGACTCATTATTTGCTTTTATATTTTTTTCATCATATAATAAAGTAATTGCACATTAAGCTTGATTGAGATCGTCGTATCATATTATGCTCTTATCAAACTCATTTGCCACTTCATCAGATGGGCCGCATGGTAGATTGCCACCATCGTGGTTGAAAAACAAAGTTTTTGTTTATGTGCTACACAATTTATCTACTACTAGCTGTACACGCGACTTCGTTCGCATGGAATTTACATACCTTTATTTTTTTAAAATAAAACAATTTTTCTAAAATAAAAGTAGACTAAGTTACTCCTTATTAAATCA